TTTGAATTTTTTAAATCTTTTTTTTTTTTTTAAGAATAAAGCAAAATAATAAAAATTACTTCTAAAAATGACTTTGGAAAAAGTGTATCATAGGAGATTGCTGCTAGACTCCAACAGTGTTTGTCTGCAAAATTATAAAACGTAATAATTATCTAATAGTAAATAACATTATTAATAGTTAATAAATAAAAATAAACTTGTAAGATTTGAAAAACTAATAAACTCAAAATAATATAAAAGTAAAAAACAAAACAAATAGTATTATTTGTTGAACAAGAAAAAAAAAGGAAAAAAAAAGGTAAAAAATGAAGATAAAGAAAGAAATTACCTTTTAAATGTAAAAAACAAGGAAGAAAATGATCTATTATGTTTAAACTGGCTATATCAAAAACTGAACCTAAAGAAAAAAATTGTGTACTTTTAATAATAATTATACTCAAAACCCTTATTTTATTGTCAACACCCTTATTCCAATGTCTACATCTTTTTCTTAATGCCAATGCCCTTGTCTTAATGCTAACGTCCTTTTCTTAATGCCAACGTCCTTATCTTTACTGTCTAAAAAATCTTAAAACTTAATTTTTTTTATACCTAAGACCTTGAACTTTTTTACTTGATTAGTTTAACATTATCTATTTTTAGATTGAGTATTTTTTAGATACATTAAATTAATTGAGTGTTGTACATATAACAAAAACTTATTTACATTAAATTTTGGTATGGCAAACAAACAACTTTTAAAATTGTTTTTTGTATATAATTTATAATACATACAAGCTTTAGTCAAATAACTGAAATTAATTGTTATTTACATTTATAGCCTATGCATATTAAATATATTTATATGCATATTAAATATATTTATATGCATATTAAATATACTTATAGCTTATGCATATATTTATATGTATATTAAATATATTTATAGTCTATACATATTAAATATAAGTTCTATAATAAGAAAAAATACAAATTGTAATTTGAGCTTTAAAATTTTTCAGTTTCAGATCTGTTAGTTCCACATTTTTCATAAATTGATTATGCAGTTGATAAATTTTCACAATTTTCCTTCTCATTTAGAAATAATGTCTTCTTGAGCTTGATGCAAAACAATGGTTAAATCTTATTTATTCCTTTCATGATTTTGTATACCTGTATAAAGTATTCCTGTTTATGCATTTCTTTTATGATTTTGTAATATGAATTAATTTTGAATTAATAATTGATTCATTTCATACCAAAATTTTCTGATTAGTAGGTACTTATTAATTCACACTGTGCCTATCATTTTCATGCAGATCAATATCTTTTTTTATATGTGGACTCAGTGTTAGTATCACAAATTCAAGGTAATGTTATTATGTTTCTTATAAAACATAGTTTTTATTAATAGAACAAATGTTGTTTTGTAATAAGTAAGCTTTAAAAACACAGCTTGTTAATCACTGGTAATATGAAAATATGGTCACTCAAAGATCTTTTTGAAACTGAAATTTCATAGCTTGTCGTTTGTACTGTAAAGTATTATCTATGTTTAAGTCATATTCAATTTTTTAAATTAATGACAATAGGAACCAAAAATACTTAACATAAAAAATCATCACCTAATTGTTTAAATATATATTTCTCCAATATTTGAGGTCTTCAAATTAATATTTATCAACTTTCTAAACAGCTTTCTTGACCTAATCAAGCTTCATTATTTGAGTCTAGTCTATGATCCAAGCTTATGCTCAGTTTCTCATTATTTTTTAGATGGTTCTGACTATGTTTAAATCTCACTAGAAATGTCATTTCATGCTTCTCTTTCATCAGAGTCTACTCATCATTGTGCATCATACAGCATATCATAAGGTTGATGCCTTTTGTCTCTCTGCTGACAAATATACTTCTTATGTGACCATATGTAGATTTAAGAAAAACGGAAGCTTTTAATTCTTCTAAAATTTTTTAATTTTTTTAAAGCATAAAGCAAACTATCTTAATTATTTCAAGCCTTTTATCTTTTTATAAAAGTTTTTGGAGCCTATATCAGGAAATAGGCTTCAAAGACTTATGGGATATCTTTATTAGTATCAATAACAAAGATAAATCTAATATTTCATCTCACTTGCATGGATCAGATCTAATCAACTCTAAATAAGATAAAGATAAATTATTTTTATAGAGCATGCCCTATAATAATAATGAATGTTTGCAATATAATAAAAATCAAAAAGTAATAAATCAGTTATTACCTATGGGAATTTCATGTGAGTGTAACTGAAGGTGCTTGATATCTTGAGAAGAGAGATCTAACGCATCTTTGTCTAGCAACTGAATATGTTTCTAGAAACATTGATGTAAAATATAATAAATGCACATCATATTTATAAAACAAAATGTTTTAATTTAATTTACTCTTAATAATAATATACAATTCAATATAAAATAAAATTAATAGAGTTATATAGTAAATTGAATTTTAGTAAAGTCAGTTTACTATATAAAATTAATATAAACTCCATGTAAGTCAATATATATATATATATATATATATATATATATATATATATATATATATATATATATATATATGTATATATATATATATATATATATATATATATATCCAGGTTATAGTGATTTCCACCATTCTACTGGTTTTTTAAAAACATTTTTTAAAACAGATACACTACACAAACAGCTTTTATCAAATTTGCTCTATCTTAATGATTATTTTGTATATATTTTATTATCCTAATTCCGAGGGTTATATATATATATATATATATATATATATATATATATATATATATATATATATATATATATATATATATATATATATATATATATATATATATATATATATATATATATATATATATATATATATATATATATATATATATATATATATATATATATATATATATATATATACATATATATATATATATATATATATATATATATATATATATATATATATATATATATATATATATATATATATATATATATATATATATATATATATATATAAAAAAAATCTCAGCACTGCTATAACTATCTATTGCCACACCAAAAATATTCATGTTTAGGTTTTTGGTCTATGAATTATTTTTGGAAAAACTTAGAAAATTCTGAAAAACTGTGTATTTTTGTACAGTTTTACAAAAAATTAAATATTTAAAAATGTTATACCAAGCTATATACAGGTAATATTTATTCATTTAAAAGTTGTATGCAAATTTATCATTGTGCAATTTGATATAAACAAATTTTATCCATTAATTATTAGATTTAAAACATAAAAATCAAATAAAAAAGTGATGAACAATCTACTTTATTTAACAGTCTTACTATAAATGTGTCAACAGCCAACTCCTCTATGTCTTTGTGAGTATTAACACGCCGTACTTCAAAGCTCTCTATCTTTAGTTGCATAAACCTCTGAATTAAAACAAAATTTGCTTTACAAGACTGAAAGTTTATTCTAATTTTTTAAATCGACAGTACAGACATACTCAACTAAAAATTTTTATTTGCACCTGGTAATCGCAGTCAACTACCAAAGTCACCTCCATGTTCTTCACTTTTGCCCAAATAACTGAAGCTAAAATATGAAACCCAAGTAGTATTTAGAGAAAAAAAAGACAATAATAACAAAAGTATTAAACTATGAGAAGATAGCATTTAACTAAAATAAAATAAATACAAAGGAGAGTGGGGCAAAATAATTAGTTTTATAATTCTAATAACCAGACACTCTTGATTTTTAAATTTTATCTTAACCTCAGACCATTAATAATAAAGTTTATTAAATCAAACATTTTAGCGAATTGTAAAATTAAAAAATAAATTTAAAACTTAACAGACTTAGAGCAGACTAAAAGCAGGCAAAGTTTAGACTATTTTATCACAACAACTGTATGTTAAGTTGTAAATTACCTATCTCAGTTAGTTAGCTTACAGAGATAGGTAACTTGGTGAGTTATGAAATATAAGATAAACAACTTTCAGATATAGGCGACTTACATGAGATATAAAATATAAAATAGGTAACTTATATGAGATATTTAATAGAAAATATATAGCTTACAGGAATAGTATGAATACCAAATTTTTGTTTGTTTATACTAATGTGAAACTAATAAATTTTGCAAAAAATCTTTAGAAGTCAGTCCAACAGCTTTTTTTTAAGGGTAAAAATAAAAATCTAAATGATATATTGCTTTATTCATGATCCTCAGTCAATGTGTGTAATGAAGCCCCCACATATCTCTACTTCAATATAACATATCACCTGTATTGTTTCTTGCACACAGTATTATATATATATATATATATATATATATATATATATATATATATATATATATATATATATATATATATATATATATATATATATATATATATATATATATATATATATATATATATATATATATATATATATCAACCCTTAGAATTAAGGTCGGTATTGAGCAATGCTGACCTAAGTACCGACCTGAAAATGTTTGAGGTTGGCAAAAAATTGCCGACCTTGTTTTTATGTTTTATGGTCAGACCTTAGTATCAAATAATTTTTGCCAACCTGATGCTGCCCTCAAAAAGATTGAGGTCGGCTAATTAATGCCGATTTCATTTCATGATTTTCTAATTTCGAGGGTTGATATATATATATATATATATATATATATATATATATATATATATATATATATATATATATATATATATATATATATATATATATATATATATATATATATATATATATATATAGAGGGTTGATATATATATATATATATACATATATATATATATATATATATATATATATATATATATATATATATATATAGAGGGTTGATATATATATATATATATATATATATATATATATATATATATATATATATATATATATATATATATATATATATATATATATATATCATTATATTATGCATATTATGCATGGGCTTTAGTACATACATTACATTATTACTTTCATATATTCTCTGATACTTTGCATAATTTTTTTTATCTTTTTCACCAGAATACTCCAAAGAACAAGCATATTTTTACCATTACAAGAAATTGAAAAAGTATTGCTTAATACTTAGGTCCATTATTCTTCGATATTTAAATCACATTTTTTATCTCATAATTTAGGTTCTAAAAAGTTATGAAAAATCTTTCCAAGTAAAAATATTAAAATAAATTTTTAAAATTATTTAAAAAAATATTACATGAGTCTGATCTTATAACTTCTAGACAGGGATAAGACTAATTATTTTTAAAGTCATTTTTTTGCACCATCATCTAAACCTAATGACATTACTCCTCCTGATACCCCAAACAATTAGATTAATCCATTAATAAACATTCTAATCATTCTATGTTTTATTGGTAAAGTTAAATTTTACTTAAACTTTTCTATAACTTGTGGCATGACCAATATTCCTGCCACATTCTGGCAGTATTGTTCCCAAAACTCTTTTCAATACTTTCTCTCTTCAGTACTTTCTAAACAATTTAAAGCCTAAAATTTACTTTGTTTTTTAGCCATTTTTATTGCTTCCGAAGCAGCTTTATTTGTTTATTGGTATCCATGCATTGTCTTATACACCAGAAAATAAATACAGTTAAAAAAATATTCAATAAACGGATCATTGAATGTTGATTCAAAGTGGAAAAGATAAATTTATAAAACTCACGGTGTGTTATATATAGAGTATCATTATTATAAATTCATAAATTTATATTTGTTATAATTCTGACGGATTCAAGCATTTTAATATTTTTGAAATATCTAAAAATCTTAACCCACTCTCCCCTTTACAAGTTAAAAATCATAAAAAATTTGTTTTTTAGAACTTACGTTTTCGTTTTAAACTAATTTCTCCTGAAGCAATCTATGTAATAGAAGCAATAAAATATATTTTTTAATGTTCACAAAACTCATGTAAATGACCTACAATAAACCATTGAGTAAAAAAGTGCACAATAACATTATTATATTATAATAGAGAATTTATGAACATAGCTAGGTTCATTAATAATATTTTTTTTAAACTCTTAAAAGTTGCTCCAACTTTAAAGAAGCAAATTAAAAAAAAAAATGTAACACAGACTAAATCAAGAAAATCAAAAATAAAAACTTTTATATTAAAAATAATAATAACAACTTATTCTTAAATATAATTAATTAGCAGATATATATATATATATATATATATATATATATATATATATATATATATATATATATATATATATATATATATATATATATATATAAGATAAAAATAATTTAGAAAAAACCACGGGAGTGGAAATGATTAAACTATTTGTTTGTACCACCATACAAATGCATGCTTATTGATGGGACTGCTAAACATTTAACTTCTCAAGAAGGTCAAAAACATGCATTTTGAAATGTTAATAAAACATATCCCTTTATTAAGAACACCATGAATGAAAAGTTTATTAATCTTTTTAAAAAAATACAGAGAACCAGTTTTATTAATGCATATTTTATTGCAGGGAAAAAAATTTACAGCCACAACATCAAATCAGAAAAAAAAATATGATCAAGTTTATTATAGGAATGTGAAGAATTTTAAACTTATAAAACTTTGAATCAATAAATTTAGTATTAAAAAAAAGATAAAGTAATACAGATTAAAAAGAATTTATGAAACAATTAAAGTTTTTATGTATCTTTTTGAGAGAACACGTCATTTTAAACATTATACACTTAAAAAAAAACTATATTGATTTGAAAAAAAGCTTTTCTATAAACTTACTTTTTTACGTGTTAAACGCTGTTTTCTTAACAATTTTCCAGCTACGTCATCATTACTTAAAGTTCTACGCAAAGGTTGATCAATTTCCTTTTTTTTAATACTTTGCAACCTTAAAATCCCCTCAAGATTCCGATTAAAATTTTCATAACTTTTTACTGATGTTGATTCTGATTTTTTAGAAGGATCTTCTTCTGAACTTATATAGTCTTCTTCCTCAATATCACATATTAGGTGTTGTAGCATAAGCTTGATATCAGGACTATGCCCTGTCGAATTTGATCTTTGAGTTTTAGTTTGCACCTTTAGATTTTCCCCAACATTTTCTTCTTTTTTTAATGCCAAGTTATTATCCATCTCAAACTTATCAAAAGGATCTATATTAGAATCAACAATACACGAGGAAGCACTTAGATTTTCTTCATTAATACCAATAATTTGAGAATTGAATTTAACAGGACAACTATTGCTTCTTTTTTTGGTCATTTCATTAATTTCAAGCTTCGAGCCAGTAAATGTACTATTATTGTTTATATCAGGTTGAGAATTTAAAACTTTATTATCTTTATTGTAGTTTGCTACAGAAATACTGTCAACAATTTTTTTATTAGATTTTTTTTGATTGATCAACTTAGATTGATCAAAAGTGAAGTCTTGAAATTTATTATCTAAAGTAGTTTTGTATAGTTTGTTAGAAGAAGAGTTTTTTAAAAGAAGGGTATCGTTACATTTGTTTGCTTTTTGAGAATTTTTAAATGAGCTATCTCCTGGATTAAGAAACTCAGATGACTGAAAAAGAATTATATCAATATTTGTCTTTTTATTAGCACCTTTTACATTTTTTAGAGGCTCTTTATCTAGAAAGATCTGAGATTTATTTTTTGTATCAACATTTGAAAGATATCCATTAGACTGTAAAATAGACTTAACTGAAGAAGGCTGATCAAAATATGATTTTTGAGGTTGTCTCTAAACAAAAAATACTTGATAAATTGTTCAAAAAATTTTTTAGTTAAAACAATACTAAAATTTTTTTGACTTCAAATCAAACCTTTATTAAAACTTTGTGCTTGAGATTGGTATCTTTAGTAGATTTGTTAACAACTTCAAAACTTTTTCTCCAACGACTTAGCACAGGCTTCTCTAAGGTCAAGCTCTCTTTGTACTTTGAAGCCATTATTTGATTTTCTGGTAATTTATAATTAAGACTATCGTTACAAAAGTCTTTAATTAAACCATTTTTTTTTTTTTGAGAAAGCAACCGTCTATCTAGACTTCCATATTTAAAATCATCATCATCAGTATTTGTTTTAATTTCAAGGTTTATGTCATTAAAATGATCAGAGTCGCCATCTTGAAAATGTAAATGATTTAATGTAGTATACTTCTTTATTTGACTTTTTGTTTCAACATCATTTATATACTTTGAAACTTTTCCATAATTTATGTTGGATTCAATATTACTTTCAACAAACTCCATTGTCCATTTTCCTTCTACAATTTTCCAAAGTTTTCCCATTTCCAGAAAAATTTATTGAATATATCAAAATTTATTAATTTCACACTAAACTTATTTGTAAGTTTGTAAAAATGACATAAACCATTTTAAACAACTGTAATTAATTGTTATATACACAGACAAATTCATGTCAATACTTAAAAAAAAAAAAAATTTCAAAAATGCTGATCTATAATAAAAAAGACTTAATGCTCTATTGTTTTAGATGTATTGAACTTAATTAAACATTTTAATATCAATTAATATACCTAATAAGATCATACAAAAAGTTTTTTTTTAATATTATATATATATATATATATATATATATATATATATATATATATATATATATATATATATATATATATATATATATATATATATATATATATATATATATATATATATATTTATTAATAGCAATAATAATAATAACATATAACAACAATAATCTATTTTTATTGTATATACTACTTCTTTTAAACTTAAATATGTATATTTGTATATATGCATATTTAATTTACAAAAATTTTAAATATAAAAGTAAAATTTTATGTAAAAATTTTCATTATTATATAATAATAAAAATTAACATAAAAAAAATAAGTTTAAAACCAATATATTTAAATATGAAAAACTACATTGACACTGATAAATTGACTATCTTGCAAATCTTGCAATTAATCTAAGAAATATTATAATTAAATATAATTAAATATTGTTTTGAAGAAAGAGTTCATGTTTAATTTTCATAAAATATTACAGCAGATATCATGTCAACCCATTAAGTACTAAATTATTAACACAAAAGTTTATTTATACTATACTATAGTACTTTTTTATCATTCTTGAAAAGTAATATGATTGAAATAAAAATTATATAACTGACATTTCTAAATACGCCATTGAAACTCACTAATCCTGCAATTTTATTGCTTAATTAAAAACAGCAATATATTTTTTAAATGTTGGGGTTTATTATATTTTTTAAATGGTTGGGCCAAACTGAGTACCTCTTGCAAGTACATGGTCAGCCACTACACCAATACCACATTAGATTTTACTGTAACAATTCTAGAATGATTCAAGACCTTAAAAACAGTATTTAATATTTTTAAATAATGTATTTAAGGAATGTTCTAATATTATATTGAGGCTCAAGCAAATATCGTTAAGTAAATACTTTAGAAAAATCTCATCAGAATGCAACTTTTGAAAAATGATAAAATCACTAAATATTTTTTATTAACTTATTATAATTTCAGTAAAAATTTATTTTTTGATTTAAAACTATGTTTTTAATAAGTTTTTTAATGTCAAATGTTATATTTGTATAATTAAACTAAGTTCAATATCATACAAACAAAACCTGTAGATTGCATTTGAAATTTTCATTTGAAACTAAACCTATAGATTACATTTGAAATAATATTTCAAGACCAAAAAATTAGGTTTAATATCAACACAAACAAAAGCTGTAGATAACTTAAATCAACATTTAATAATAAAAATGATTAAATTTTCAATTACAATGTTTAATTTAAAATATCTAAATAATAATAAAAATTTGTAAATAGCAAGTTAATAAATAGAATAAAACAGCACAGAGCATATGTCCAGTGTTATAATGTAAAATAGTAAAATATAAGATGCAAAGGTTAGTGGTATGCATTGCCTAGAAAGAGCTGACAAGATGATCAAGTAGATTATTGGGATTATTGTAGATAATTGGTTTAAAATACAGGAAATCAAATTGAAGCCTAAGTTTGAAATTTGGAACAATTGGTATATCAGAAAGAATTCAGGAAGTCATTTTTATATATACAGAACATAAGGATGTAGATTGATTATCACCATTTCTATTTCTGGAAAAAAAACCCAAAAGCAAAATTTAAAAAACAATACTTTTCGATGATAATGACAGTAATGATGATTTTTGATGATAATAAAGATGATGATAAAATTCCCATTATCACCATCATCATCATCATCATCATCATCATCATCATCATCATCATCATCATCATCATCATCATCATCATCATTTTCACACATTTATCGATAAATCAAAATTTTTTGGATTATCAAGAAATGAGTGAAAAAATTTTTTTCATTCATTTCTCAATAATCCAAAAAGTTGTGTGCATTTTAATGCCAGTATTAAACTAGTTTTTAAAGGAATAATTTACAATTCTTAGGAATTTCTTAAGAACTTTCATATGCTTTTATATTAAACACAATCAAATTTGAAGACAACTAAAAATGTTTATGAAAAAAGACATGCGACTTCAAAATATTTTTAACATTTATGGTGGTAAGTTTTAATCTTAAGACATTTCACACTAAAAACTGTCAATAATCCACTCTACATAGTTAAAAACTATCAATAGTCCACTCTACGTAGTTAAAATAAAGAGTTGAACAATATATTACCGTATTGCTTCTTTTCAAAAGATATTGATTTTTACTAGAAAAGCCTTCATCTCCAGTTTTTGATGTGTCCTTCATAAAAGGGATGATCATGGCAATTTTGGAAGATGACTGACAAAAAATAAATTAAATAAACAAAATTATTAGATAATCAAATAAAATTAGGTAAATTAAAAAAATTAAAAATTAAAAAAAATATTAGGAGAATGAAAGTAAAGTATGTACCAGACTTTGAAATTTATTCTCTTCTATAACACTGTGCTGCTTAAATAAAGGTGTCAATGATTGTTCTAAATGTTTTATTCGTTCTTTAGTGATTGGAGAGCCCTCATACTTTTTTGCCACTTCTCCAAAAATATTTCTGCTATTTACAGAAAAACAAATGTCTTGAACTTTTAAAAAATTTTGAAATGACTCATTTGATAGTTTTGACTCTTGGCACATAACACGTGAAATATTTGCATTTGTTGCAATATATTTATGAGATAAATTTTTATTGTTTGCAGAACTTTTACATAAAACATCTTGAGATTCTTGTTTTGTTAGATTATTATCAAGCAACTCAATAGAGTCTTTTGTAGGATTTGAATAAATTTGCTTGTTATCAATACAGTTAAAAGTTTGCTGGGGTTCAAATAAAAAATTGCTCTTTGATAAAATAGATGGAGAACTTACACACTTTTTAAGATGATGTTCAGTTATTTGAAATGTGGAACTTGGTTGTGAAGCAAAATCAACATTCTCACTATCTTCTGCAAACTTAATAAAAAGTCATGCATAAATATGATTATGACAAAATAACTTTTTTTACTTAATTTACAATACTAACATATTTCATTATTTCATGTAATAAAAAAATACAATAGTAATAACACACAGTAATAACATTTTATTTCATGTACAATTCTAAAAGATAAACGTATTTTAGTACTGATTCAAGTTGATAATTTCACATTTATAACTTTTAAATAAATGGGCTATACTATCTCTAAGTATTCTTCCAAGTAATTCATTTTATTAGTTTAGATTAAATTTCATCTGATTTTTTTATATTTTTTAAATAAAAATAAGCGAAAAAAATTATATTTTTTTTCCCAGATCAATTTCCTTTATTTTAACTAAAATAGACATTTTTTAAAAGTTTAAAAATAGTAGATATAGATCACACATTTCTGTAATTTTTGTTTAATCTCATAACTAACATTGAAGTTAACATTCAAATCAAGAATTATACCTAACAATAAATTTGAAATTCAATTCAAGAATTACACTTTACTTAAACCTCATGCATCAAAATAACATATTACAGTTTAAAACTTTGGTCAAATGTGTTCAAGTAAAACAATTTAACGCAAATAGCAAATTTCTAATGCAAATTTCTAACGCAAATAGCAAATTTAATGCAAATAACAATTTTCATAACTATTTTGTCAAATAGTAAAGCAATATAACTTCATTTTTAAACATCTATTCTAAAAAAATTAATTTTTCATCTTTTATCGCATTTAATAAACAAAACATACTGCTACTAAATTTTTAAGTATTTGTGATAATTTTTTTTAAATCTTTTTTTGTAATGTATTTGTAAAAAAATTTAAATAGTATTTGTGGTAATATTTTACAGCAATTGTATACACCAAGTATTTGCTTGCAATTTTTAATATTTTAAACACCAAAAACATCTCTCTAAATAATTTATCTCTCTATATATTTCATATACATAATATATATATATATATATATATATATATATATATATATATATATATATATATATATATATATATATATATATATATATATATATATATATATATATATATAGTTATTTATCATATTTACATACCATTACATGTTTATGTGGCTTGTAATATCCATTAGCTGATACTGAACGAGGTTTTACTTCATCAATTTCAGTTCTATTTTGATTTTGTTGGATTTTTAGTTCCTTTAATTCTTTCTCTTTAACAGAAATTTTAGTATCTAGTTCTTCTTAAATGTAAGATTTAAAAATTAAAAAATAAATATTGAGCCTTTTTTAATTAAATAAAACTAAATACACACCTGCTGATTTCTGTAATGGAATATTATTAGAATTTTTTCGTGCTCTAAGAGGAGAAAATGTAGTGAGAAATGATGGTACAGAGCTTTTTTTAGGGCTGTTTGACTGCACCTTTTTTTTTGATTCAATAACAGCTGATTTTTTCTCTGAACTTTTTAGCTTAATATTGGTTGTGCTTTTAACATTTTTTGTTATTTTAGAATCAGTGGACAAATTATCTTGTTCAAAAACAGACAAAATAGTTGAGAATTTTGATTCTTTAGGAAATTCAGTAGTTTTGTTTGTTTTTTCTTTACTATCTTTTTTCCATTTTCGATTTCCTGAAAGCTTTGGACTTGTTTTACTTTCTTCTTCAATGATTACCTCACTATGGTGCCTAATACCAAACTTAGTTCCACTTTCTTCAGAATGCCCTGCATTTTTATCTAGACTGCTTTTAAAATACTCTGTATCACAAGAGCGAGATCCCATGTACTTTCTTTTTATTTTTCCAATAAAACTTCCTTTTCTACTTCTCTTTATTTCTAAATCATCTTTTGAAAGCTCTTTAACAGAATCAGTCTTTAATTTCTCATTCATGGAATTACAATGAAGTAAATCAAGATCAATCAAATCATGTTTTTCAATTATTTTTTTATCAAGTTGCAAATTTTTTTCATCAGAGTTCTTTTTTTGTTCTGACAGTGAAAGTAAATCTTTAGCCGTGAAAGAATCAACATCACTCTTTAAACTTTGACTCAAACTGTTTATGTTATTATTAAACACATCTAGATTTTCATTATAATCACTTTTCATTTTGTCTAAATAATCAATACTTCCAGTAGACATTTTCTCATCACATTTGTTTATTTTGTTTTGTTTATTTTTAAATAACTCACCATATTTTGAAATGGGTTGAGGTAAGCTTAATCTATGTTTTAAAAACAAAGTAGATATTTTACTATTATCTTTAGGTAAAGAGCTTTTGTCAACACAACATTTTTGAAGTTTAAAATTGTTGCTTTTTTGTAAACTAAAACTTGAATTACTGTAAATATTTCTTTTTACAGATTTGTTGTAAAAAAATATTTTTTCCTGAGATTTTCTAGATAAAAAAAGAGCTGCATACTTTAATTTTTTAAACTTGACTTTTTTGTTACAAAATGCTTGATATCTATCATTTGAATTTAAATTTTGATCTGAAATGAATGGTTTTATGCGATTTTTTACAGGTTTTAAATTTTTTTCTAAAATCTCAAACCAATCACTTAATCTATTAAATATACAGTGTCTATCTCCATTTTTTATTCTTAGTTTATGTAGGTGTGTTGAAATTTCCTTTTTGTAGCTTAATGATGATTTTATACTTTCTTGGGAAATAAATGCCAAAGTTGATATTATACAAGCAGAAGTTTCAGAAATCCTTCTACCAGAAAAAAAAGTTCTATTTTCATTTGCATCACATTCAATAGTTCTTATCAGAGGAACTTTGGTGTATCTACATTTTAACTTTGGTTTTATTTCTTGAAAATGTCTCATTAAACCACTTGAATAAACCTGAATAGAATCAGCAGATTCATACTCTAACATGAATACATCTTCATCAATATATTGATATACTGTTTTTACAAAAGAAGAAGGTTGCTCTAATCCTATAACTTTATTAGAACAACGTACAGATTTTTCACGTTGTAATTGTGGTGATGATTTTGATTTGTGTAAACCAGAAGGAGAAAGTGAAGGTAAAACTGAGTACTGTGTTTCATAATTAGCTTTATATTTTTCTTCATTTTTTTTGTTTGATTTCAAATAACTTTGATTTAATCTTTCACAGTTTACTGATTGACTGGGTTGACTGTTAAACGTAGTGGACTGACTATTGAGCATATCACAAAATCTGTCTTTTCCTAAAATCTCATGATAATGTGATGAACCACAACCTAAAAAGATATTTGTATTACTAAAATTGTAGCTATTAGTTAGAGACCTTGAAAAATGAGTAGAGTGATACTTTTTGCTTAAACAAAATGAGTTATCTAAGCTTGTAAAGTGTAGATTGTTTGATTTTAACATCATTAATTGTGAAAATTTACAATTTGAGCAAACTTGCAATGATTGACAGTTTTTATAAGAAAGTAAGCTTTCTTTTGTAATGTCACAGCAAGAAGCAATAAAAGTTTTAGAAGGCATGTCTTTCTTTAGGCCAATATTTATACCTTTACAAATTTTACAAATAGAAGATATTTTATACGAATTTTGTAATTGTCTATCACTAAATGCTCTTCTGCGAACAATATTTTCCCACTCAAATATATATTCCAAAATGGAAGTTGAATTTAAACTCATTTTGCCTTCAAGTAACTCTTTACAGCCCTCATCAACTTTTTCATTTGAATAGCATAGCTGGTAATACTCATTTTTCTTTATCATGTTCATTTGTTTCACTCTAAACAAAATAATTATGAAACATTACCATATATATATATATATATATATATATATATATATATATATATATATATATATATATATATATATATATATATATATATATATATATATATATATATATATATATATATATATATATAAATATATATATAAATAAATATAAATATATATATATATATATTTATATACATATATATATATATATATATATATATATATATATATATATATATATATATATATATATATATATATATATATATATATATATATATATATATATATATATATATATATAAATTAAAATTATTTAAATAAGACCTTAACTAATAATGTGTAATTAAGTAATAATGACCTCTATAAGTTTTTATTTTTCGATATTATTACCACCTTTAATAGTAATCTTCAATAGCAATAGTATTTATTAATTCGAAAGTAATGGTAAATTATTTAACGTAATTATTAACTAGAGCGTAATTTAAAATTACTTCGCAATTTTATCGATTACATAACGCCGCGGGTTCCGTAACATAAATATAGATTAAAAGTAGGTTGTTATAACTGATTGATACAACTAGTATTTCATCATCAAATTTGTCAATCTCTCACTTTGATTTTTTGCTTATAATTCCGCTGGATTAAAGATTGCGTGCGTATCATCCAAATAAGACTGGATTATTTAAATATCAAAATAGAGATATTTAATTTATATATATAAAAAAATTGTTTAAGTGTTTCCTTGAAAAAATATTTTATAATAATGAGTTTTGTGTTTTGCACTTGAATGTTTTGCAATTGAATATTTTGCAATGCGTTTTTAAAAAATTTTATTAAACAACTTCAGTTCTATTGGATGATTATCAAAGTTATTTTCATTATTATAACAGTTTTCTACATAAATTAACAAATTTGAAAAAAAATAATTACTTAAATTTTATTAAAAGTAAGTTTAAGTTTTTACTTTTATAAATTAACTGAAAGTATTTACGAAAAGACTATAAGGAAGAGATAAAAAAAAAAAAAATAAGAAGAGTGTTAGGAGGAAAAAGTATTATGTAACTTTTTATTGAAAAATATTATCATGGGGATTTTAACTTATTTATTAGTTTTTTGTAAGCTCCGAAAGGATCTACTTGCTTAATATTATGCGCTTGTTAAGGCTTATTGCAAACAAAAACCTATTGTTGAAAAGTATCATTGTGACGCCAGTTTTTGTATTTGTATTAAAAGGAATTTAAAAAGAAATGATACGATTTACATTAATTTTAGACAAACTTTCTTTTTAAACTTGTCTATACAGCAAACATTCCCACCAAAAACTACTTACAATCTACATTACAGCAAGAGGAGTTGGATAAATTTTTTTGGTGATTAAGATAATTTCCAGATATGGAACAAACTAAACTCCAAACATTTATATTTTTATACTTGTGTCAGTTAAGAATGCATTGCAAAAAACTGGAAACAAAAAAAACTATAAGTGGTTTATTGGGCTTTCTTTTATTCCAAACGTGAAAGCATCAAGTTTACTAAAAACAAATAGTCCGGAATAATCGGGGAAACCCATTGTTGTTAATTTTAAATCATTATTTTAGCAAATGATTTCACCTTGACAAACTTGAAATGCATACATTTTTTCAATGAGCAACAAAATTATTTACTAAATAAATATTGTTGCATTGTTCAAATAAATTGTTGTTTTAACTTTAAACAACATGTACAAAACCCTTAATTGTTGTTGAAAAGCAAGTTATTCAGAGTTTGTTATTAACTACAAAATGTTAAAACATTTTTTTCTTCTGCGTAATGTAAAAGTGTAAAGTAATAAAAATTGCGCACATTTTCATTAATCAAGTAAAATTTCACGACGAAGTGAAATTGTTTTAAATATTTTTGTTTTGTTTATAAGCTGTGGCAAGTGTAAACAGTTTGAAAAAAAATTTAGGCTAAAGTATTACTGAAATTTTCTCGCTCGAAACAAAACTTCTTTTCTTTCCAAAAATTAGTATTGTGGTTTATCCTCCTCCAGCTAATTTCCATACGGAGGTCACATTACCAAGGCCCGCAAAGACAGGTTCGGCTCCCCAAGGAGCGTCATAACCCGCTCTACGGACCAAGAATAAAGTGAGTTTAGGAAGAACGAAGATATGTTAGAGTGAAAGACAGAAGTAGTCGTGTTAGAAAGATAGCATAAAGAAAGCGGACAGGATTGCACTCGATGTTAGGAGGTGCAATAGGTTGAAATAGGTTCTTTTCAAAAAATTATTTATTAACTTGATTCAACTCATCTTACAAAAGTTTCACATCCATTTATATAACATATCTACCATCATTACAAAAACCGCTTAATATATATCTACAATTAAAATAATTAAAAACTATTAGTAAAAGAAACCACATAATTGCCGTAGAATGTTCTAGAACTTTATATATATATATATATATATATATAAAGTTATATATATATATAAAGTTATATATATATATATATATATATATATATATATACAAATATACAGTGAATCAGGGGAAAACAAACTATAAAATCAGTAGCGGTTTGTTAAAAGTTTGTTGTTAAAAACTTTGGAGTACTTCGAAGTACTTCTTAGAAAGTGTACTTCGAAAAAGAGTTATTCGAAGAAGAGTACTTCTAAGAAAGTGGTTGAATACGATACATCAAACAATGTTCTCCTAAATCTTCTAATGTTGGCAAACCATGTTCTCCTAAATCTTCTAATGTTTTTGTTTGTTCGACATTTTCTTACTGGTGGGTTACTTTTAATTTACATCTTGACTTAGTATTTGTAAATAAGTAACGAAATATTTGACTTTTTATAGCCTAAAATAACCAAAATAATATGTAGACAGCAATGAAAGGCAACATTTTATTTAAACAGAGATTTAAAAGTGTGTAATAATAAAGTAAAACTACTTTAAAGACATGTTTTGCAGACATCTTTTTGCTGTTTCTTTTGATTAACTTTCAAAGTAATTGGAGGACATAAATTTATTATTGAATAACGTTTTCTTGACTTTGCGTATAAGAAAAAATGGTTTGTTTTCCCCCAATTCAAGACGGTTAATTTTAAACAATACCTTACAATACGGAATGATGTCACGCCTGAATGGATAAGATTCTTACTTTAAATCAGTGAGTATTGCAAAGTATTGTTTTAAAATTAACCATCTGGAATTAAAGGAAATCAAACCATTTTTTCTTATATGCGAAGTCAAGAAAACGTTATTTAACAATAACTTTATGTCCTAGAAAAAGCATATTGGTCTTCTTGAAACAAAGGTGTCCTCTGTAATAGGTGTTTTGTATAAGTCGAGACCTTTTCTCGATAGTAAATCACGTAATATGCTTTACTTTAGTCTTGTTAATAATCAGTTTTTGTACGCAAATATTTTATGGGCCAGCACCCATAAAACCAAATTGCTAAAATTTCAAAGTCTGCAAAACCATGCATGTAAAGCAATTAATTATTTAAATAGGGTTATAACCCGGCCCCAGTGATGAAAAGCATAATGATTCTAGATATTGAGAAACAACATATTACAGATATTAATTTTTATCTATAAGAATAAAAACAATCTACTAACAATCGTTTTTTCAGATATTTTCTTGATATCATTTTCTGAAAAATATAATCTGCGTTCAAATACCAGATACAACTGATAAACGCATGATGATAAACGCATCATCCTTATATAAATTATAAAGAAAATTAAAAACGTTTTTTATCTAGGTTTTTATGTTTACGATGTTATTTATTTTTTACATGATTATTTGAAAAATTGTAATATTGTTTAATCAGCGAAATAAAAGTTAATAATAATAAAAATAATAATAGCAATAATAACAATAATAATAATAATAGCAATAGCAAATATAACAATAATAATAATAATAACAATAATAGCAATAATAACAACAATAATAATAGCGATAATAATAATATTAGTAAAAAAACTTATTTTTCCTATTTTTTTTTAATTTAAAAACTGAAGCGCTTTGAAATGTATGCAAAACTATGCTAAAAACCATTTATTTTGTAATCAACTAGGGTAGAGCCGGGGATTTAAAGGGACACTTAAGAAACAAAAGGACACTTAAGAAACAAAAGTTGCATATAAACTAATCATAGTTAACACTGTTTTTCATAAATTTCCTAAAATTCATTGGTATAAGAAAACGAAATGAATTTTTTTTTTAAAAAAAAGCTACGACAACCAAAATAACGAAACTCCTGACTTGCAAAATTTTTACATTTTGCAAATAAGTGGGGCAAAACGGGACAGTTAAAAAGCAGAAGTCATTTGTTAATTGTAAATCTTTAAAAATAATAAATAATCATGGCAATCTATTATTTAAACATGGTCAGACATTAAACTCTCAAAAAAGTATCATATAACCTTTATAAACTATACGCTCATACACATATAGATCACAAAAAAAAAAATTAACAACTAAAAAAAAAACTTTTTCTGCTTTATCATAAAATACTCTTAAACAAACAAACTTAAGAAATTGTTCTAAAAGTTAAGTAGTGAAAAACTAGAATATAGTATTACATTAGTAACAAAAAATGTTATAGATTACATAAATCACACAAAAGTATCCTTAAACTATTTGGCAACATTTTTGATGAGCTGGCTTATTAGAAATATGCCAATGTAGAGCAAATATACAATGCATATAAAATATACAATGTGTATCAGCAGCTTCTCTAATTCTAAATTTCTTTTTACTCACAGCTAAAACTGGATTTTATCCCATTTTGGATGTCTTATATAACCATTATTGCTTTCATTATATACTATTAATAATTGAAATAAAGTTATAAAAAAAAGAAAAATAATATTTTAGATTAAAAGTAAAATTATCAAACTGTAAACAGCATTACGAAATGATAGTAATATTGTCAATTATATAAATAACTTGTTGTCCCGATATGCCCCACAAAAGTCATTTTACTGAAATTAATACTATTTAAAAAGTTTAATTCCAGATATTAATTTAAAACCAGATTCTAAAAGAGAATAAAAAATAATGTCTGAAAAATATAAACTTTTTTATAAATAAAAAATTAGAAATAGTTCAAAAATCTTTTGCCGTTGCACCGCTTAAGAAAATATGTAAAAAAAAATTTTTCACAAACCTCCTAATGGATTTTGGTACTTGCAATGCATTTTGGTATTTCTACAATTAAATTTTTTTATAATAATGAAGTACAGTAATTTAAAACTTTTTATCAAAAAAATGTTTTGAAAAAAAAGTAACTTTTAGTTGAGATATATGGCTTTAGGCATAACTGTCCCGTTATGCCCCACTGTCCCGATATGCCCCTCTCTACCATATAATAGTTTTATTATTACTGTTGATAAAAGTTATGTTGTTGTATTACTATTAATAATAGTTATAAATATAAAAAATTTTAATAAGTAGTAAATTTTAATACAATTTTTATAACAATGTTGTTAAACGTAAACCAAAATAATTTATAAAGTAAGAGTATTTTACGTATTTCATTTTACCTCAAAGTTGTGTCATCAAATTTAAAATTAATATTTAGCCAAAACAACTTGTTTAATAGTATTCTTAAGAACAAAAAATAATTCTAGAAAAATTATTTATCTACAATACAAATAGTAAAATGTATTTACACATTAATTTTAAACAACGCTGTTCCGTCAAAGTGAGGCACACTGTCCCGTCGTACTGTCTCGCTTTGCATCGCATTAGTCGATTATGACCCATTACGCTAAGATGTCAAATTTATCAAATTTTTTAAAAAAATTGTCAAATTTATTTATTTAAAAAACGTAACAACTTTTAAATTTTCCCACAGATAAATCTAATTTCGTGTCATCATTAAATACCAATTAAAAACGATGAGAGTTTTAGTTGGATTAATATTAAAAAATGTCGCTCATTAAGTCTATATGGTTTGTAGAATTATAGAAAAATTAATTGCAATATATAATCCTTTATGGTTAGCATGTGTATAATCCTTTATGGTATTAACAGAGTATCATTATAAATGTGTACTGTAAGTTTATAAATATCTTCAATAAATTTTATATTTATATGAACATATTTATTATTATTTTTTATTTTTTAATTACTAATGGTTGCACCAACATAAAGTAAAACTATGTATTTTTATTTGTCGCATTAAGATCAAACCATGATTCCATTCCATGAAACAGAGTGAACCACAGTTGTTTTTTGAACTAGAATTTGTAGTCACGGTCTTAAACCTGCACCAAAATTTCGTAGTTCAAACTCATTTTGTCAAGTAGCAAAATTGTGTTTATTTAATAAAATATCTTGAATAATAATATTTTATGACGACTAAGAAAGCAATTAACGTTCAAATTAGGTGTATTTAAAAATTAGGAGTAAAAATTTCAAATAAACTTTCCTTGTTCTTAGTAAAATAAAAAAAATATATTTATTTAACAATTAATTAGCAACAATATCATTAGGCAATTACGGTGTTTCTTATTTAACAACTTTTTTTATTGACTTATATGCAGACTTAAAAGTAGAGTCGGGGCAAATAGGTGTCAAGTGGGGGAGGGAAGGAGGGAGATGCCCTACAGTTTTTGTCATTTAAAAAAAATGGTCCTCTAAATCTCCAACTTGCCGACTAGAGATGGAAAGCGGTTATTAGTGACCGCTTTCCATCTCTAGTTAATAGTGACGCGTCGAACGGCTCGGTAATAATATAAATGATCTGCATCACTCTTTCCAATCTGCCAATTTTTGGTTATTAAGTTGATCCCAGAAGTCCTTACGTTCTTATAACAGAGCATTGTGGTAAAGCATTTAACTAAGAAGTTCACTTCTTCTTCCGCTTATTGGGCAAGAACCGGTCTCGAACCTCGAACCATTGAAACTACAGACGTTGACAAAGCAGTCAAATAATCATATATTTGGCTCATACATTTCAACGTCGGGAAATGCAAGGAAATGTGTGATGGCTAATCATTTAAAAAATCAATTTACAAATACTGAATGGCTAACATTGACAAAACGTGTTGTCCACTTGAAAGGTCTACTGCCAAACGAGACCTTGCTAAGTTGATCTTCAATGATCTTAAAGTTAGACCACAAGTAGAGTAAGCCGCATCGCTACCAAATAAAAGCTGGGGTGGCTTAAAAAAACATTTTGCAGCCGCAGTTCTCAGCTATGACGTATACTGTATCTCAATTAGATTTTCCACACCTTGAGTTTGCTGTACAAGCCTGACCGTCGCACTTAAAGTCTGACATTGCCATTCTCAAACAAGTCTAATATTGAGCAATAAAAATGCTATGAACACTCAAATACTTGCCCAATAAAAATCAGCTCAAACGGCTTGGTCTAACAGCACCTGAAGAACACCACAAAAGAGGAGACCTAACCAAAAAATTTAAAATTATGCATCAAATCAAACTTGTTAACTCCTTCGTCCTGCAAAAACAAAAAAATTTATGCCGGCAAAAGTAAAAATGTAAAACTGCATGCCAACGACCTTAAATTTATAAGCATAATTGAGAATAAGTTGGACAAGATCAATATCCAAGCTAAAATTGACAAAAAAATTCAAGGGGGTTGGTGAAGGCAATAATCCTCATTCGCTTCGCCTTAATCCCCCTTCCTCCTCATAAACTTTTTAAAAATAATTTTCTTTAGTAAACCAATATAATTTAACACATCATGTTTTTTAAAAAAAACAAACTGGCGGGCTGTTAAAAATGATATAAAAATTTAATAAAACTATAAGATGCAAATTTTAAATCAGACTATTGGGATATCAATATTCTATGTCATTTCATAGTTGAAAAGATTTATATTAAAAAAAAATTAACTAAAAATGTATTATGATTTGTGAGCTGGAAAATCATAATACTTTGTTTCAAATCATAAAATTTAAAAATCGCCGCTCATTAGATGGTCTGGATTACCACCAAATCAACAAAACCTATGAATTGCCCCCTTCTCCTTCCCTTTACCAAATGGTCTGGATTCACCCCTGATTTAAATAAGTGCTTGAATATTTACACTACTAAAGTAAGTCTTATTTATAAATTTATAAAAAGTTTTCATGCTTAAAATTGTCTAAAAAGACTTAGTGACAGTGGCATCCTGACAAAAAAGGTATATGTGGCCCGCATATGGCCATAGTGCTTATAAGTGAAATAAAAGTGTAAAACTATATTCTAGATGATTATCGATATATAAACTGATGATTGGCGTGGCCCACAAGTGGAACACATAATCATTCCACCTAATATGGTATACTCTTTAAATGGTGTCCAGAATTTTGTTGACACATATTGTCCCTCATCTAAATTGATCCCAAGCAGCAAACAATATTGGCGCAATATTGGCGCGATATTGTCTACAATATTGGCGCAATATTGTAAACTATATCGCGCCAATATTGCAATGTCAACATTTTGCCAATATTGGCCAATATTGGCGGTACAATATTGCGCCAATATTGTTAAGTCAATATTGGCCAATATTGGCAAAATGTTGACATTACAATATTGGCGCGATATCGTTTACAATATTGGCACAATATTGTAAATATAATACTGGCCAATATTGGCGTAATATAGTTATAGTGTTTTTAGCGTTAAACAATAAAATGTTATTTTTTAAAATTTTTTTATTTATTTGCCAGAATATGTACAAGGTAAACTTACATTGAATATATTACCGGCAGGGTTTCTAGAAGATCACAGTTCCATCTAATATGTAAAATAAAAACAAAAAAAATTGGGAATTTTAATGGGTTAAAAATACAACACAATGTTCTATCTAATATGTAAAATACAAAAAAAAATAATATATATATAAATAAATACAATGTTCTATGTAATATAATATAATATATTATATTAGGTAGAACATTTTATGTTTTTATATTTATATATACTTTTTGAATTCATTTTATATATTAGATAGAACATTTTATTTATTACGTTTAAAGATAGAACAAGATAATACAGAGGGGATGAATTGTTTAACCCGAAAGAATATTGCAGCCTTTAGTATAGACTATAGTCTATACTATATTTTTGTATATAGTTTAGACTATAATTGTATATAACTTGAGTTATAGTTTAGAAGGCGATAATAATCTAGGAACGCTTTGAAAAAATAAGACTTTTTAAAATCTAATAATAAATTTATTAGAAGTTATATTAAACTGATACAAATTAATATATATATATATATATATATATATATATATATATATATATATATATATATATATATATATATATATATATATATATATATATATAAATATATTACAGCATTACACTCTCACTATCCCTCAATAGTGGGCTTTGCTTAATTGCGGTTCTATTCTTTCTTCTGCCTTCTCTATCAATGGCCGTTGCCAGAAAGCTGCCGATTCTTTTTTTCTTTAATGCTTTTGTCATTAGCGTTTTCAAACTTTTTTTTATGGCATCTGCAAACAAATTTTAAGTTAATAATGTTAAACAAGACATGAACAAAATGTAGTATTAAAAATTATCAAACTTATTAATTCAACTAAATACGAAGATAAATAATTAAATAAATTACCTATAACCACCTTGCAGGACGTAAGAGACGAAAATAATTTCTTTTGTTTCCTGCCATACATAGAGTATAATAAGCATACTTTTTTAGCCATTAGTTGTTTTAAGATAGCCGTGGTAAGTTGCTTGTAATCGTCGCCTCCAACCGATGCAAGGAAGTTCATCTAAAACAAATAAAACAAAAAAAAATCGAGTTTGTTTACAAAAATATATAATTATAATTGGTTGTAATAAAAGTTTAATGGTTCCATAAATGTGTGTATTTCGAGCGGGTTTCCATAATGTTACAACGTCATTTTTTATAATGAGATATTCAAATATGACATGGAGAAAAAGCAATTTGTTATAAATAGATGCAATCTCTGAGGTCAACCTGTTTTGGTGATCAAGACTTCAATGTTTTATAAAGTGATAAAAACACTAGGAAGAATACTACACAAAATTTCATACAGGTTTATGAGCTTCTCATACCCCTACCAATAATTAGACAATATATTGTGTAAAAAATCTGATACTATAGTATCAGATTTTTCATTCACTAGCATAAGTTGTCTTTACCACAGCAAAAAAATCGGGGTGAATGCAATCTCAAGTATTTAATGTGAGGCTCCCTATGATTAGTAGGCTCATTGCTCTACTAAATGAGCTAACTGGGCATAAATGGTTAAAACCACAACACAATTTAATAAATATACTTTATATAAAGAATTCTTTTCCATATCTTAATTAAAATCAAATGTATAGTATATTTTATAGTATAGATATGTTAAATGCACATGGAACTGTTTATAAAAAATATTAACTGATATCAATTCACTGATACATACCATAGGTGTTTCGTAATTTTTCATCCAGGTCTAGAAAATCTTTTTCCTCTTTAACAGGCAAATAATTCCATTTAACTGATGGGGATGGTCCAGCTATGCTCTGATTGCTAACAAAAGGAAACACTAAACCTTTTTCTAAATTGATTAGGCGAGTGTTTAACTTTTTCAAATCATATTGAATACTGACAAGCAGCTCTAAACTTTTCTTCTCAAATGCTGCAATAAAAAAATAAATCTGATTTTAATAAAAAGCCAATTAAATAGATTAGCTTTTTATAAAGTCAACATAAAAAACTAAGAAAAAATAGTATAATTACATTCAAAAATATATTAAATGTTTACATTTAATTAAACATTCAAACAAATAACCCATCAATGTAATTCTTTACCAGCAAATCGAGTGCCTAAAGCAGCCACAACAGTTGCCAAGCTCTGGTCAGAAGAGGAAAATATCGGTAGAGAACGATTCGAACTAAATAGCTCAATATATGGAACAGTTGTGGGTTGTAAAATATTTTGGCAATTAAAAGATTTTTTCAATCTTGGGGAAACTGATGGATATGTCTCCTCAGTGTCACTTGTTTTGCAAACTGCTAACTTTTTAGCTGGTGGCATGGACAATTTTTCATCACTATCAGCAGCTGTTTCAACGCTTGATGTGAACTCTAATGTTTCCATTCGTTCTACAGCAGTTTCATAACTGTCTAAAAAATTTAAAGAAAAGATAAATATAGCTGTTCAGATCATTAGCATCTAGCATGTGTGTAACATAAAATTACACAAGGAGTAATAACATAATAACGACAGATAACATGGCACACATGCTTTTTTTTTTTCATCTAGAAATTCAACCACAGCAAATTTTTTAAACTTTGCTGCCATCTTCAATTTTACTGTACAACATGTGTATAAAAAAAAACATAAACAAATTTGAAAAAATAAAAAAAATTACCAAGGGTAAAAAAAAAAAAAAAAGTTTTTAGTTTAGTGGTTCCACACTTGTGTGTAGTGAGTGACTGGGGCCCCAACCCCCACCAAATTTGGTCTTTTTACAACCCCAGCCACAGCTAAATAATAGTTCTAGCAGGAGTTATAAGATGGGGCTAGCAATTTTTTTTATGCTATTTTATTTTTTAAGCTATAAAAGTTAAATAATATATCCGCTATTTAAGGTAAAAAATATAGAAAAATCACAAATATATATATATATATATATATATATATATATATATATATATATATATATATATATATATATATATATATATATATATATATATATTTGAAAATACTTTTAAATACATATTTATATATTATACTTATAACATAATAATTTACAATAAAAATTTTCAAGATTAAGTAAAAAGTAGCCATTTTATTTAAATCTATGTTTCTTCGTCGGAGTTTGAAGATTTAGGATCCCATACATTGTAATAGTTTAAATTAGGTGGTACAAAGTCTTCAGGAGCCCCACATAAAGATGTTGTATATGAAAGTGCTATTAAATTGTATTTAAAAAAAAGAAGATTTTTTGTTTTGAGTCTAATACGTTCTTGTTGTATTGATTTCAAAACTTTATACTCATGTTTATTTGTAGTTGGGCTTGGAAGTGAATTTATATTTTTTTATATTTATATTTAATTATAAATATAAATTTAATATAAAATTTAATAATTAATAACAATTTAAAAAGAATTTAAAATCAAAAGTTGTTTATTTAAAATAAAAATAATTATTCTAATATAAAAAAGAATTGCCTTTATAAAACTATTGCAGTTTTAAATTTTGTTATAACTTTTGTATTACCTTTACATGATTATTTAATATTATCATTTTTATTACTATTATTATTATTATTATTATTATTATTATTATTATCATTTTATATTATTATTGTTATTATTATTATTATTATTATTGTTATTATTGTTATTATTATTTCAATCAGCCAAATAATCATTAGAATTTTTATGTAAACATATTATGATTAATAGACTCATCACTGAAGTTTATTGGAGTTTCGCAGTTAAGTAAATCATTCGTATTTTCAGCATTACTTATTGAGTGAATTTCACTTAAATGTTGCTTCACTAACCTTTTAATATAATGTGATTAAGCAGATCGAGTTAAAGTTATTGATTTTTTCATTACCTATAACATTGTATTACACTTATACATTGTATAACACTTTACCATAAAATAAAATGCTATATAAAATAAAAGAAAGAATACATACAACACACACACACACACACACACACACACACACACACACACACACACACACACACACACACACATATATATATATATATATATGTATATATATATATATATATATATATATATATATATATATATATATATATATATATATATATATGTATGTATATATTTATATTTATATTACAAAGATCAGAATATTGATACCGTATCATACCATTTATTTATTTTTTTACATGATATTTTGGCTCATATAGTGAGAGCCATTATCAAACTATTAAAACCGTTTAAACAGTTTTGACTGGTTTTATTAGTTTGATAATGGCTCACACTTAATAAGCCAAAATATCACGTAAAAAAAGAAATAAATATTATTATACTTTATATGACATTTTAATGGTTATAATATTATTATACATAGTATTTAAGAAGTCACTTAAATTATATATATATATATATATATATATATATATATATATATATATATATATATATATATATATATATATATATATATATATATATATATATATATATATATATATATATATATATATATATATATATATATATATATGTATATATAAATATGTATATATACCACAAGGCTGACATTATTAGGTGTCAGCATTTTTACAGTATGTTATAATATGTAACTGCTATTCATAAATTTAAAACCTTAAAACAGTTAGAAAGTAAATAAAATAGAAAATAAAAAATAGCTAAACCTAAATCTAGATTTAATAATAACTTATTTAAAATTTATTTATTTGCAAACTTATTAAAATGTAAATCATATGACGTATTTGTTACTTAATTGAATATCTTTATAGACTATACAAATCTTGCAGATGCAATTAACTCAAATTGTTTTTATATAAAAGTAAACTTACTATTTCAACCTTTGTCTTATAGTACATAAATATTTTTCCACTTTTTCTCGTGATACAATCTGTTTCTAAATGAACTACAACCACTTCTTCTCATGATTCAATCTGTTTTAAATAAATTTCAACCACTTCTTCTCGTGATACAATCTCTAAATTTTCAATTAAAAGGATCTCTTCACTTTTACCACTTCTTCTCGTGATACAATCTGTTTTTAAATAAATTACAACCACTTCTTCTCGTGATTCAATCTGTAAATGTTTTATTAGAAGTACTGTGAACATCAAAGGACAAAACTATAGTTTTGTATTTTGATGTTCACAGTACTTATTTATAAAGGACATTATGAACAAGCGATAAGTTACGCATGCGTACCAATATGTAAAAATGTAATGAAAACAAAATAATATTGGGCCAATATTGGCAAACAATATTGCACCAATATTCGCATATCAATATTGGCCAATATTGGCATGTCAATATTGCGCCAATATTATATTCCAATATTAGGAAAATAATATTGGCGTAATATTGGTATGATAATATTGGCCAATATTGATATGCCAATATTGGCGCAATATTGTTTGCCAATATTGGCGCAATATTGCATATCTTGGCCAATCTAGGCCAAGATACCCAATATCGCGCCAATATTGCGCCAATATTGTTTGCTACTTGGGATACCATTTTGTTGAGGGGCACATTGGTGGTACTGTATTTCAAGCGCCTCACGAACTTTCCTATCAAACTTTTTGTTATTGACTTTTAGAGTTCTGCAACTGTCCCAGTTAATTTGTTGTGCACAATGTTTCATGTGTGTGGCTAATGCTGATCGTTATGTTTTATTTCCTATTGTACTGTTTTTGTGTCGTTGCATGCGTGTTTTTATTTGCATTTTTGTTTCACCTATATACTTTTTGTTACAATGGCACTTAATAAGGTAACCTTCTGGGTGGCTGTTCCTTTGCAGTTTGGATTTATTTCTTGATGTCAATATTGCTTCTAGATTCAAGTTTGATTTGAAGACCGTTTTATGTCCTGCCTGCCTAAACACCTTACGCAATTTGGGAGACAATATTGGTATCCAAGGTAATGAAATTGTTGGATACGTATTGGTGATGTTGTCAATATTTTTAGTAGTCACTAGAGGTTTTTTGTACTTTCATTTTATTTCTTTTATGATTTTTATGAGGTTGGAATGTTTGTAACCATTTTCGACAAACACTTGAATAAGGAATTTCAGTTCGTTTTCTATATGTTTTTCACTGCATATATTAAATGTTCTATGTACAAAACCCTTGAATATTACATTTAAAATTTTTGGGTCATGGTTTGATGTTGCCTTAACTTCAATGTTAGTAATTGCATTTTTTCTGTGAATTTTAAATTCGTTTTTACCATTTTTGTTATTTATTATGCATGTCTAAAAAATTTAGTGTATTTTTTTCATTTTCAAATTCGATTGTATATTGTATTTTTGGATGCTGTTGATTAAGTATTGTCTTGAATTGATCAGCCTGGGCAATGTTAGGGACTCTAGCATGGCTGTCATCTACGTATCTATAAAATGATTTTATGTCAATAAGCGGGTTGGTTTTCAGCGTTACATTAAGCGCTCTTTTTTCAAGATTTTAAAGATTCAGCAAAAACTACCATAAAAGAAAGACCTATTGGACCTGAATTTTCAAGTTCATGTATTTCATTGTTCCATAAAAAGTATGGTTGGTATAAAGTTCTATCAAAGTTTTTATTTCTTTTATATTTAATTTTGTCACTTTTTTAAAATTATCGCTCACCTCCAATATACTTATGAGTACATCAGTTGCTTCTTTAAGTGGAATTGACGAGTATAAGTTTATAACGTCTAATGATATCTGAATTTCGTCACTGGATATGTCCCACAAATTTGCTTTTTCTACAAATTGTTGCGAATTTTTTAATCTAGTTGGGTTTTCATTTAATATTGTTTGTATTAGTTTTACTAAGTAATTTGAGATTCCGTAGTTTGATGTGTCTATTGTAGATACTACAAGTCGCATTGGGTAAGATTTTTCAGGTTTATGTGCCTTCACTACATACGAGGTGGCATTGGGTCACTGGGATAAATTTGCTGATATTCATCTTTTGTAAACCGACCTTTTTTATTTAATTTCGATAGTTGGACTCTAAAAGTCATAAACAAAAAGTTTGATAGGAAAGTTCGTGAGGCGCTTGAAATACAGTACCACCAATGTGCCCCTCAAAAAAATGGTATCAATTTAGGTGAGGGACAATATTTGTCAACAAAATTCTGGACACCATTTCTAATGCACTTACGTCAGAAAAAGACGAAACCATTCCATTGACGTATAATAGAATTGCCGTTTAAAAATAACATATAAACAAAAACAAACAAAGATCTGTTAAACTGAGGACGCTGGTCACAACAATCCAGCGAAAATTTCTTTAAAAAATAAAAAATAAACTTAATATTGAGAGAAAATCGTATTTATTGATGTTTATATAATAATAATAATAGTAATAATAATAATAATAATAATAATAATAATAATAATAATAATAATAATAGCAATAATAGCAATAATAGCAATAATAATAATAATAATAATAATAATAATATATATATATATATATATATATATATATATATATATATATATATATATATATATATATATATATATATATATATATATATATATATATATATGTATATATATAAATTGTATATAATATAAATTTAAGCGGTATTTTAATGACAGTTTTTAAGGCTTGTTATCCAAAATAAAATTTTCCAAATATCTTAGTTTTATTTAGAGAGAAAAAATCAACTCAACACAATCGCTTAATCGAAGAGGAAAAATATTATGAAATAAAAAAAAAAAGGCAAGCAATGTAAGTAAATTATTAATTAGATACGTGCGTATCCAACGAGTTACGGCATCAATCGTGTAATAAAAATCTTCGACCATTTTATCAAAGCGTGCTTAGCGTTTGAGTTGTAAGAAAGTATATTGTTGTGTTGTTTTTTTCTAGAATTTTATATCAGCATAGACTTTTTTTGAAAAGCACAAGATTTAAACTTGATTTTTATATATATTTTTTGTTGTTGTTACAACCACTTTTATTGAATTAACTTTTCTAACTTTTATTGAATTAACTTCGTTGTCGATCAGACATCAAATTTATATTGAAGGAATGTTGAGAACATTTTTGAAACTATTGAGAAAAATTTTAAGACCTATTTTCTACGTACATGCCAAATTTTATTGAAAAAGATTATGTAGCAGACACCTAATTTTTTGTCGCAGAATATATACCTAAGTTGAAATCTTGTAAAGGAAGTGAAATATTGCGCTTCTAGCAACCAATTGATTCATTTGCGCTTCAATTACCAATGATGTGTAATAATCAGTAATAAAAATACTTAAAAATTTTACACACGTGCCTATATAAATGTTATTGATATTTTTTCTCAGACTTTGTTTATATTATTGATTTCATATATTTGATATTTTATTTATATATATCTTTAACAGGCTTATGAATATATATAAAAATATATACATGAGGATATAAACATTATATAAATAAATATAAATATATATAGATATTATATATATATATATATATATATATATATATATATATATATATATATATATATATATATATATATATATATATATATATATATATATATATGTATATATATATATATATATAAATATATAAATATATATATATATATATATATATATATATATATATATATATATATATATATATATATATATATATATATATATATATATATATATAAACGATAATTCCTAGAGTTTTATATAATGAGCATAAACAGTTAATATTGTTTATATAATTTACAGTGTAAAGATTTGTTTTATATTGTTCATTTCCTGAATGAAAATACTGTGGAGTATGTTCCAAAGGAATGGTTAAATGGAAACAACGAGTGTATGCGGCCATAATGTAGCATTACTTCTTTGAGAGGAATGAGTCGCATTAGACAGATTCTCAATCAAGATTGAGAAAGATAAAAAATACGAATTTTATCAACTGCATGTTGATAAGATTTGAATTTTGTATACATTTACCTGCAGTTAATAAACGCGGAGAAATTTAGAGGAAATATTACCGAATATCAGCGTTTTTTTCGCGAAAATTAATTATTTATATTAAAGTATTAAACATGTTTCTTGATAAAAATAATTTAAGTTAAAATGTGTTAATATCAATATTAGATATAAAAGTTTGAAAAATGACTAGAATGTTTTGAGAGAGATACAAAACCAAAGAAATTCTAGTGGAAGCTTTATGTCATTACTAAATGATCCCGAAGAAATAAGTTTACCTTCAGTAAGCTTTATTGTTTGTTGTTAAGTTGTATAACTATAATTAAAGATAATTAAATTATAAATATTTCTATAAATGTAATAAATTGGAAAACTGTATATTTTTGAAAACTTTTTGGGTTTTTGTTGTAGTCATCTCAAAGTTTTTGCCACCCCCTCACATTGCTCACATCAAAAATTCTACTCATACCATCACACAAATCACACAGCCAATTGAATACAGATTGAACTCCATTGAAAACCTACTTAAAGGTGAGAAATATGTTCAAATACATATATTAGTTTCTCTCTCTTTTTAATACTTAGAATTATTTATATTTGATTAGATTTAGAAAAATCTGTAACTTCTACAAGAAAAGAAATTGGTCATACTGATGAAGATTTATTTAAGAAAGCGAGTAATGTAGAAGAGTTAGATGTCATATTGTTGCAATGTCAGGATGATGAAATGGTTTTACTGTTAGTAAGTTTTACTCAAATATTAATAAAATGTTAACAAAATGTTGTTGTAACTTTTAAGTAAAACTTCCGTTCTCTTTCATTGATATTCAATTCAAAATTTATAGAAAAATTTTAAAAGTTAAATTATAAATATTATATAATATTTATTATATAGTTACTAACAAATTATATAACTATATTTATTAGTAATTATATATATGTATGTATATATGTATATATTTATATAGTTTTGTGTTTTTAATATCGTTTAATTACTTTTGATTTATAATATAGTTTAAAAGTAACTCAACTATTATAAATAGTTTATTTTTCTGTATTTAGATTAACTGGCTAGTAATAGCAAATGGAGAATACTTATTGGACATATTACGAAACATTTTGAATGTCTTCATGACATTACAGATGAATTGTTGTTGCTCTGGGAAACATTATGTCACCATAATGACTTTTTTATATAAGTTTTTTTTCACACCGTGTCCACGTTAAAATTTCCTGTAAAAGTATTGTGTGGCTTTCGTTCTTTTTTAGTGTGGTTGTGAACGATAAAAGCATTATAATCAAACATGGGCCGCACCAACATGATCAACATAAAAAGAAGTCTTATATATAGGGCTAACATATACTTCCCACTCGTGGGCCACATGAAACTCACGCACAAATAAAGTGTGGTGTGCGCTCTTATTTAGAATATTATTATTAATATATTCTCCTGCTAGCTTGATGAGCTTTTAACTGTTTTAAAACTTTTAAAAGTATCTTAAAAACTTTTTTCAATTAATTTATAAAGAGTAGGTTATAACAAAAAACAACACTCTGTGTATGATGTGCATTTGATATAATAAAATAAAAAAAATACATTTCAAAATTCATTTCTTAAATAATTTTGTTGAGATGTCTTGCAAAAAAAAAATATTTTTTTTTTGCAAGACATCTTAACAAAATTCTTTAAGCAAAATTATAAAGAAAAAAACTATACTAGTGACTGCTGTGATTTCAAAACTGGCCGCATAAAAAAGAAGACAATTTTATTTGTTAGACTTTCCACTCCAAATCAACTTCCAACCACTGGAGAAATGCTGAAAAATTTTTACTGGCTCTACATCAGCGAACCAACCAGGTAATAGCTAAATTTGTTTAAAATACTATCTGACTTTTATCTGTTTGTTTTAGACTCAACCTATTGACATTGCTTTAGCACCAAGTTACATCAAGTTAGCAGGAGGAAAGTGTGAAGAAAATCGGCGACAGAAAATTACTAGTGTATTCATTTATAGAGAACTAGTAAACCTTTAGAACAAGGTTGAATTTGGCAACAATTTCATACTCACAGAACAGAAAATCCGAAACGAAATTATCAACAAGATTAACAAGTAACAATGCCTAAAAAAACTCAAGACACTTAGTCTACCAGAAAGTTGCTGCTGTAAGATCATTAACTTTCTAAATTAAATTAACTTCTTATTCCTTATTTATAACGCCAAGATATTTATCTTGATAAAGAATGATCCAATGAGAAACAAGGAGGTTTAAAAAAAGGACATTGAATTCCTAAATCACTGCCTCAAATGATGTAGTGGAATTGGTATTGATAACACATTTTAAAAAATGCTTGTAAAGCTGTGGAGAAAAAAAGAATCATGGAAAAAAAATGCAATCACAAAATAAAAGGTTTAGAAATCAAAAGGAAAAGAATAAAAAGAAGGTAGAAGAACAGACAGTAATAGCCTGCCAGACTTTTACAAAGATTTAATGCCTTCTACAAAGACCTGATAGATTTCAGAGGAAATAAAAGTTAGTCTTCAGTTAAGTATAGATGAACTTCAACACAACTGGATCCCAATCATTAAGAGGTATGGAATTTGTATTTGGCCGGGAACCTGTTTGTTGACATTTGTTTATATAGTTGATGGTATTGACATTGAGGAGCTCAAAATCTCAAATCAATCAAGGACCTCATACTTTAGTAGAGTCAGAATCTCAAATCATCTAAGAGTAAAACATGAAAAAGGTGAGAGGTTTAAAGCTTTCGATTCAATTTGACACTAAAGTTGTAAGCCAGTATACCAGTAAAAAAGCAGTTTTCACAAGTCATGAAAGGGTAAGTAACACCTGTTGCATAAAATTTGAGACTAGTTTTAATTAGCAATAATTAATTAAGTAAGTTTGATAAAATAATTAATATTTGATATCAAATTAAAGCTCTATCATTTCTCTATCAATTAGAATACAAATTGACTTTTTATTTTTTTGCTTAGATAATAATTTAAAATGCCAAATCAATAAGCTCTAAAAAGTCGTGTGTACGATTGTTATTAAAAAAAGCATTAAGATGGGAAAAATATTGTTTGGAGCTATTTCAAGATAAAAAAACTACTCAAAAGCTACAATTTATAGATATATGAACTGTTCGATCAAAATAAACCATTGGGTTGGATATTTGGAAATAAAAGAAGGCCTATTTTTAATACACAAGACAACCCCATCAAATTAAAGAACATTTTTAAGAACCGAAGAGATGTATTACTTTCAAAGGCTGCTAGAAGACTTGATCGCAGCAAAAACACCATTGGACAAATCTTAAAATACTTTAAAAAGCTTATTCTTTGTTAAATGAAAAAAAAGGTCATGCAAAACGTCTAAACAGAGGCTTTGAGGTCGCCGAAAATTTTGTTGACTTTATTTAAAATAATGTGACCACATGGCTCATATTAATATATATTATTCAAATGGTCAATATTTGACACCAGACATTGTTTTGTATTATTACGTTGCAAAATGTGAAAAAAAAATGGATGGGTACTTGTATGGATAAAAAATAGATGGATACTTGTATGGCTCTCCCCACAAGGGGTCGCGTCAACTTACATTGTTCCTTTTGACAAAGCAATAAACCAAATACAAAAAATCAGGAGTGTTTACAAAAGTGCTTGCAACCTTTTATTAATAAATATTATTGAAACACCAAGTACATCTTTTGGCCTGACTTAGCAATATCTCACTGTGCTAACTTGTTAACAAATTGACTGAAAATCCCGAAGGTATTTTTTTCTCAAAACAAGGACAATCCAGAAAACTTGCAAGAAGCTCCTGCTATAGAGGATTCATGGGCAATGCTTAAATGATGTGTAAAAGAAGAATGCTCGACAAATACTATATTAAGCCTTGAGTGTCGTAATTGTTATTGTGCCAGTAGACTTGACCTAAAAACGTATTTGTTATTGTGCCAGTAGACTTGACTAAATTTGAAGATATGCAGTCTTGTAATAAAATTTATTTTGATTTTCGTATTCTGCCTATTTTATTCTTTGTACATATTATAAATCTTTTTTTTATCATGTTTGCCTTATTTTTTATTGAAGTTTAAAGCCAGTGTCAAAATTTATGGTACAGATGTTATAAGCATTTCATCTCTTGAAGCTGATCCTTTTAATTTTCTGCTTGGTATTTTGGAGACTAAAAGCTGCATGGAAATATACCAGACTATTGTCATTCAAATTATTCTCGAATATTAAGAGTTATAAGATTAATTCATTCAGGTATGTACTAGAACAAAGGAGCAATAAGGAATGTCATTTTTCATGTTTTGGAAAGGTCTGCTTTCTGGCTAATGTGCAGGCACCACATACATGAAAGACATGTGTTGCACGTCATGAAACTTGTTTTTAATCCAATAAAAACTCCAACCAAATACTTGTACGTGTATTTTACTTCATCAGCTATGGTCACAAATACACAAAAGTAGTGAAGGAATTGTCAGGTTTGAATGTTCACGGGATACTTTTAGACCAGGTACTCTTTTGCATCAACTTGCTGTTAAAACTAATGAATCTTGGTCAGCTACTGGCTTACTTCCTGGGTAAAAATATATCTAATTTCTACTTAAAGTAGCTCACCACGAGGCCAGCTTTATGAGTGACGGCCTCTATCTTCTAATCTTGCAAATGACTCAAAACTATTATTCGAATGATTCAAAAAATAAGGCAGTTTATAAAAGCAAACATATATCATAGTAAATTATAATAACAAAATTTCTGCGAAACATAGCAATTTTTAAATAAAGGGATATTCCCGTACGGACTATACAATAATGTCTGTAAAACTGTTCAGAGTACATTCTTATTTCAATATTTTATAAACTAAACTATTAACTAACAGTACTTAGATTTTTAAAGCTTGAATTCATCAATTCTTTTACATAACAATCTGCCTCTTAAAATTTATTTATTATTTTCTGTTGTCCAGAAAAACAGACAGAAAATTTCAAAATTTATAAAGAAGTACCTGCAAAAAAAAAAATACCTGAAAAAAAAAAAGAAAATTCACTGATAATATAGGGAAAATAGAAGCGCCAAACATGGTTGTTGAACCAGGCGGCGTGAAGGTCCTGATTGAATCTAATATATCTATAATAAATTGAACTTGTACCATTGTAGTTTTACTACGACATTGCTATTTTCATATCGCAGCGTTGTAGCTCTCAATATTATTACGATATATGGTTAGCTACATATCGCAGCATTGTAGGTAGCTACAGTATAACTACAAATCTGTAGATAGTCAATAGCTTTATTTAACAGCTTTGCAGCTAGCAATAATATTACGATAAATCGATTAGTGGATTGTAGATATGTAGCTGACTCGAACGTAACAACAACTCTAAATTAGTCAATGGCTTTTTCAAATCTAAAGCTTTTAACAAATCTAAAGCTAGTCAATTGCTTTTTACCGTAGCTTTTTAACTAGCAAAGTTGTTAAAATATATAGATAGCTTGTTAAATATTATATAATATATAAATAGTTTGTTATATAGTTATTAGAATATATATCAAACCTTTATTGCTAGCAACTACAAAACAGCAATTCTATAGGTACTACGCATATATATATCGTAAGTTTTTAGTTAGCGATTTCAAAATAATATGTCATTAATTATAAATCGTAACTTTATAGCTTGAGGAAACAAAACTATAAATCTATAGGTAGTAAATATACCAAGCTAAAGGTATATAAAAAAAATATTTATATAAAATATAAAATTATACAAAATGCAATCATAAATTTATGGGTAGTTGATATAGCAAGCAAAAGAGCTGTTGAGTGAATACACAACATAGCTTTTTAGCAATATTATCATTAAACTATTGTAACTAACCATAAAATATGACAAGTATCTGTTCAATAGCTACATACCGTATCTTTGCAGCTACCGACACGGTAATCTAGATAAACTACTAAAATTAAGGTTGAAAATTTCCCGGAAGAAAAACTCGGGAAATTTTTTGGAAAATTTCTCGAAAATTTCGGAAATTTCCAAAAAAAAGAAAAAACTTTTTTTTTATAATTATTGGGTAAAATTTTATATCTTATTTAGGCAGTTGTTATGGACAATTTTATGGTAAAATATTATAAAACTTTTAGAAAACCCCCTTTAAAAAACGCTTTTCTTGGTATTTTGATAAGTTTTTCATTATAACTATAAGTAGCAACTATTATAATTTGTTTTCAAAATTTACTAAAACTATTTTATTCTGTTATTTGCTAAGCATATTGATGATGAGATAGTTCATTGATAGAGATGTTCATTGGTAGAGATGTTCATTGCCGTTGCAAGCTTTTTCTGTGGCTAAGCATAATTTGCATCCCATCCCAAAAAAGGGATGGGGCATTTTTTAATATCTATTAAATTGGCCCACAAGTTATTAAAAACTGTAAATTATATATAAAGAGACTTGATTTAATAATTACAGTGTTATAAAATTTGGTCTAAAATTTTTATATAAATTTAAAATATAAAATAAAAATATAATATATTTAAAATAAATTTAAAATATAATATAATATAAACCTTAATCTCAGTCCGTAGAGCGGGTAGACGCTCCTTCGGGAGCTCAACTAGTCTTTGCGGACTTCGGGTAAAGTGACCTCTATATGGCAATTAGCCGGAGGAGGTAAAACCACAATACCAAAATTTTATATAAAAATATAGTTAGCAATAAAAATAAAGAAGTAATGATTTTGAGGTCATAAATTCAACCGCTATGTTTAAATAAGTGCTTTTAAGACTTGAGTCTCACTCACCACAATCTTGCTAAATTACTTTTGACTTTATAAATCAATAAATTAAAAAAATTATGCTTTAAAATAGTCTAAATGTATACCGTATTTTTCAACCAATACTGCCGAGTGGGCGATTTGTGTGTTTATGTGTGTGCGTGTGTGTGTGTGTGTGTGTGTAAGTGTGTGTGAGTGTGGGTGTGTGGGTGTGTAGGTGTTTTATAAGTATCATACCAAGCAAATTAATTTATTATTATTTTACTGAACATTCAAATCAAATGTGTTTACTAATATCATTTTAGGTAAATTATTATAGTCTAACACAACTAGTGCATTTATAACATGTACTTTTTATAAAGATAATTTAAAAATGCAATCTTTATAAATAAAAATCTTCCTATATTTTTAAAAATTTTATATGCAATCAGAGGCGATTTTACAATTAAAATAAGGGAAGGGAAGGGGTGAATCCTTAAAAAGTACCAACTGGTTTCTTAAAAATAAATAAAAAGGTTCTAAAAAACTAAAATTTACCCAACTGAGTTGTGTCAAAAATTCGTCAATAAACCAAATGTAACTTGAAAATCACCTTCTTTGTGAGAGTGAAATACCCATTTTCCCCACACACCCTTCCATTAAAATCTTCTTTGTATGCAATCTTTACACATAAAAAATCTTTGTTTCTTTAAAACACTCTACAAAAATAATACTCAATAAAACTTGTTAATCTAAAAAAGATTTTATTCTTTGTATTTTGCAAAAACTTTACATTGTAGTTGAGAGAGTAAAAGCTAGAAATATGTTATACACAAGCTCAAAAGACAAGCCATCTCGGAAAACATCTACCAAACATCTAAGTAAACATCTAAGTAACATATAACAACTTGAGCGCTTTATTGCTTTTTTCAAAATTGCGCGACTCTTAAATTGGCTATAAAAATGTGACTAAAAGATGTGCATTTTTCGTTTGTGAGTCTTTCTAATTTTATATTTATTGTTGAAATATTTAAAGAATGCCCAAATCCTACGATGATAAAATGTATATTTTTTAAACAAAGAAATGAATTTTATAAAACTATATAATAAGTGTACGTTTATTCCAATGAAAAATTTTTGAAAATTTTCGGAAATTTTATAAATTAAAAGAAAAGATAAAACCACAAGCAAAAAAAACCGGATGGATTGTATAAAAATCTACCTGTAAAGGGTTAGGGTTAGGGTTAGGTATTACAATACCTATAACAAAAAAATTTCCAAAAAAAGTAACGACTTTTGATTTTATTATTACTCTTTTCTTAATAGATATATATATATATATATATATATATATATATATATTATATATATATATATATATATATATATATATATATATATATATATATATATATATATATACATATATATATATATACATATATATATATATATATATATATATATATATATATATATATATATATATATATATATATATATATATATATATATATATATATATATATATATATATATATATATATATATATATTTCTGATGAGTCTCTATTGATGAAACACAGTGTTAAATGAGAAAAAATTTTGCTAAGTGATTTTCTACTAATTTGTAATTGCTCTGTTCTTTTAAGAACATTGAGCACTCTTTTTGTAGAACACATTTTAAATTGTTAATATATATATATATATATATATATATATATATATATATATATATATATATATATATATATTTTACAGTATTAATATAATTGCCTAGAACCTCCAAAATATAAAAAACCACATAGATGTTATAAATGATTTGATTGAAATTGTAGTGATATTTTCTCGGAAATTACACATTGATGCAGAAAACAAGTACGGACGACACCATCGGTTAACAGCAATGGAGATGAAAGCTTTTAGAAATATTTTACTCATCCCCAAAAATCTTTTATTTTTTTTTAAATAAGGAAAATTTGAGTATTGAAACCTTAACATAAGCAAACAAACTTCTTCTGCCTGGAGACTCCTTTACAGTCGTTCAACATATCAATTATAGTTTTGATTGATGTTACCTGTTTAATGTTCATTTTATATGTAATGTTATAAGTTTCCTTAATGGATTTAAATAAAAAGAGTTCAACTGTATCATTTTTATAGAAAACCTTTATATTATCTAAAGCTTTTATATCCGTATCACCATTTGCAGTGAACAATAATAACCTTACTAAAGCAATTATTTATTCCATTGAATTTTTTGGGAACCGCTGATTTAATTGACTTTCTATAACATTGTAACTCGTAATACTAAGCTCGGTAATATTCCATCGTGTCCCATTTGTGAATGTTCAAAGTATTACCATCAAAGTGAGAAGGAGTTAAACTTCGGCGAGGCAAGGAAGCATGAGGTGAATTACAAACAAATTTCTTAAATCCTTCATTAACACAAGATTTAAAAAATGATTTAAAACGTGTTTCTGATTTCATAGATGCTGTATGAATTTTTAATAACATTATTTACTTTCAGCAGATTGCATATGTTGAGAGACTTTCTCTACAGTTACATACACATCATAAGCCAGGCAAAGCCCAAAATATAAATAAATTTATAATAATTTATCAAGTAAACCTTCTGCTTTAACTCTGTTAGGATTATTTGAATCAAAAATTTCTTGAAGCTCTAAAACAATTACATGAAAACTTGTCAGAATTTAACCATATGATTTGGTCCTCGCGGCAAAACGAGTTGTACAAGGAGCACTTAAATTGATTTGCTTGACACCCTCGTCAAGTATATCAATTTTTTAAACCTTACCAGTTTCTTTGGAGCTAAACTAATGAAATTATACAGCAGCTAGTACAATTCCTGTCCCTCGTTCATACAACTGACTTGTTTACAAGCATCTTGAAGAACAAGGTTGAGGCGATGTGCGTGACAATGTACAAAAATCGCTTCATTGACATCATCTTGAAATAGTTTAGCAGCACCACTTAGATGCCCTGAAATTGAAGAGGCACCCTCGTAACTTTGCCCTCGCATTATTTTCTTGTCTAGTCCACATCTTTATAAAACATCACATATTGCATAAAAAAGCGACTTACTCAATTGCATAGAGACCATCGTAATGCTCATCGCATTGCTTATCATGCATTTCACTTTTTTCCCTGTGCCTCCTTATGAATTGATGATAGGCTGTGTTTTCTCAGTCTTTCTACAGCCTTTTCCCAATTGTCATAACCAATTGTCAAAAAATTTTGTTCACCGCATTTTGAAAAAGATACCAAATTTTTCTTTACAGCACCAATCCAAATATAGCAAATATATACTTTCATTCTTGAATGACATAGATCAATCCAAGGTGAATCTATTTTCATCTAACAGTATCTAATACTAAAATTTTATCTATAGCCCTTTTAATGACAAGGTAAAACTTTTTATAAACCTTTACTTCAAGTTAATCTCTTGACTAAGTTCAAAAACAACACTCTCAATGAAATCCTAGACAAACAAGCTAATTAGTTGTTAAACATCTTAACTAACCGTTCTTCCATAGCTGAGGTTATTGGACGCACTTTTGAAGCTTGTAATCTAGACTACATCTCTGTTTCAATCTTCCAAAAGTTTCCTTTAGAACTTTATTTAATTCTTAAACAATTGCTTAACTGAATTTTGTTATATTGGTTGCTAGAAAATGACATTTGTTCCTATTTTTTAAAAATCTAGAAAAAAAAACAACTACTAATAGGATAGTTTTTGAATCAATACACTTTCATTATGTTACCTGAAGTTTAATTTCTGGAAAATTTGAATATTTTGTTTTATGGCAATCAATTCGTGTTTTATCGTGCGTTAAATAAATGCGGTCAGGCTATTGTTATTTCTTGTAATTTGTTAAAGATTTTTAATAATGTCTGGCATTCTATATGATGTAAAAAAGTTATCAAAGTTATTGAGCGTTTCTTTTTTAAAAGTTTTAAAGTTGTTTTTATAAATAACACTTTTCTTTTTTTCCAGTAACTTTTTATGGATCATAAAATTCACTTTTATTTTCATATTTTAAGACAGTTGATACTAAAAATCTTGATATAGATTATGTAGAGAAATTATATACAGGGTCAAGCTCTCAAAAATGATAAAGAGCATGACAATTTTTAACCATTTTTTTTCAACCACCCAAAAAAACCCTAAACCAAAAATGAGTAATAATACTTCTCAAATTCACATTAACCTGATATTTTTAGAGCTAGAAAAAGGTTGCAAGTCATAACTTTGGTTAAACTGAAGGCAGCTTTGTCTATTCAACCACCACTAATCTTACAATTTGATGGGAAAGTTGTAGCACTGTATGTTATGTAAAGGGTTATTACCCTTTGGTTTGAGAAACAAAATTTTGGTACATTGCTCTCAATACACTACATGCAAAAAGGAACATACAAAAATGTAGCAGCTATGATAAATGAAACATTGTTAAAGTATGTTACCCAATAAATATCTCATATTATTTGTAACACCAGCTCTCAATACAGGTTTGTAAAATTTATATTATTTATTTTTAAATGCATATGATTTAATATATAGTTACATTTTGTTTTAGACGGATCTTATGATGGGTTTGATGAAATAATAGAGATTTTATGGCCTGATCTATTTAGCCGACCTATTTTTTACTAAAGTATTAATTTTCCTCTTGCCAACACCAGCAAAATGGCCTGCTTTAACTGATTTTAAGTTTATAAAGAAACTTAAAGTATTCACAATTAAAAGAATTGTACAACGTTCTGCATAAAATTTGGATTCCGATATTTTACACAATCCGTAGCTGCGACAAATCTGCCCTATTCTCATTAAGCAACTTGGAACAGCAGAGCTGCTTATCTCTTACTTGAGTACTTCCTAATACTTGAAAAAATAACATAACTGAAAGAAATTGTAAAATTTTTCAGCTGTTTTTAGTCAAATGCATAATTTAAAACGAGGGAGAAACTAAATTGGACAAGCCTGAAAGAAACTACTTCAATCTTCATTAAATCACAAGAAGGTTTGACCGGACAAATCCTTATGGTGAAAGTCAAAAAAAAAATGTCAAATGATGCCCTCTAGAGAACTTTCTAAACCGAAATGTTTATTAAACTGTCTAACCAAGAATAATTAAACTTAACAAAATTTGTTATTGATTTGAAGTTTATAGGGGAAATTAAGGTACAGTGGATGGAGGGGTACAGTGAATAAGAGGCATTTTCTCGAAGATTAAAGTTTTGTTCATCTTGACAATGTAATCATTTTATGTACTCATATATCAGCAATCTTTATTTATAGTTGTTACAATAAAATTTTTGACTCCGTGTTTTTGGTAGATAACTTTTGTTTTTAGGTAACTAAATTAAATTTTCTTAATGTTTTTATGGAGATCACGGTTGAAATAATGTTAAAAGTTGAAATTTTTCTTTCGGAGTATTAATATTTATGCTTCCTTTTAGTAGTTTAGCTTTTCCTTTAAAAACAATCATGTCCCAAGAAATTAGACTTAAACTTAATTGGTTATAGTGGGGCAGAGTGAATTGGGGTACAGTGAGTTGGTTGATTCACTATGCCCCATTAATGATCTTAAAGATTAAACTCATGCATTTGTAACTAACAAACTACATGAAAATGAATTTATTAGTTTCAAGTTATGAATAGCATTATTTGAATAAATTTTTATTTTTTTAATATTTTTATGAGTTTTGTTATCAAAAAAATTCATTTTTTTTCTTCTCTATTTTCAAAATGTCTGTTTTTTCGAATTTATTCTAATCTAATTAATAAACGTATGCCAAAAGTATCGTGTACAGTGTCTTTACTCCCTCAGCATCAAAATTATTTGGCTATGCCCCTATTCACTATCATTAATTCACAGCTGTGTTTATTAATTCACTGTGCCCTAGTACTGGGGCACAGTGAATCACGTAACACAATTCACTTTAAACCTTTCTGTGAGCCGTTACATAATAAATATTTTGGTTTTAGTGATTTATTATCATAAAAGACATTTATCTCAATTCTTTCGCCTTGAAAAAATAAAATAAACATTTTAACATTGGTCAATTTAAAAAATAAAGAAATCCGATCCACTGTGCCCCAACTTCCCCTATGTTAAATTAAATCAGTCTTAAATACAAAATATTTGTCTTATCTCGCTATCATTTTTGATATTTTGACAAATTTTAAAATTTATAATTGTTTTTTATATGTTATGTTTACATTCATGGCCGTAGACAAGTGGGGGCTTTGGGAGGCTTTAGCCCCCCAACTTTTTTGTTTTTGTTGCGCCTCTAATTAAAGATCTCTATAAAAAAATTTGAAAAAATTAATGAAAATTTTGTTTTTTAAATATCTATAAAAAAATTTTTGCTATTAAACTAATGATAATAGTAAAAATGCCACAAATAATTGTAAACGCATTCATATCGTTTCCATAAATAAACACAACGAGCTATTACTGTATAAATATTTTAAGTCATTAAAACATTGTATTGAACTCGCGTTTATGAAAGACAAATTAATTTGTATTTTTCGTTTTTATTTCTTTGTTTTGTGGTTTATTTTTAGTTGTTTTTAAGCTAAAAAAAATCTTTCAAGAATTTAATATTTAAAATTATTTTATAATTTATGTATCAGTTTGCATAAGATAGCGACGACCGGCTTGCTCTAAAAACGTTTGTATTTGCATTATTTTGAAGAAATTTAAATGCTATTTTTTTAATTTCAAACCAGTTTTTAAATAAGTTTGTTATAGTTGTAGTAACATTTCATACAAGTGATTTTTATAATTTACTTACAGGGTTATGTCTTAAAAACAGAATTTGTTTGGTGCAAAAGGAAAGAGGCTTAAACAACAAAAACTGTTTCCTTTATCAACTTCTCATTACACTGCCTCTGCTGTTAAGAATACTTCTCGTGCTACCCATGCAACTACCGCTGCTATTTCATTTTTGTTAGACACTACTTCAACTTCACGTGGTTTTAACTGTACTTTTACAAGTCCATCTCTTGCTAATCTTGTCACTACTGCTGCTAATTCTTCTCTTGTTGGCTCTACATCAATTGTTAGCTGAAAAATCTTGAGTGTGCTGTGATGTGTTTTATAAAAGTCTCATACTAAAGCTTGTTTTTCAAAACTGAATCTTGTATGCCGTTTTTTACTTTCTTTAATTTTCCGCACCACGTACACATTTGAAAATATTATATTTGAAGACCAAATTTTACTTCATACCATAAAAAACATTTTAAAATTATAACTTACCGCAAAAACCTTATGTTAAATTACAAAAAATTACGATAAAAATAAGAATTGGTGCTGCCGATCCGTTGAGTAACTTAACTTACAAAGAACGCTAAATTCTAAATTCTAAATTCTAAACGCTATTTGATATATGTTATTGTATTTGTGATATCTAAACAATGTATATCTGGTGGGACATGAATCAAACAGATCTCCCTTATAAACGTTTAAATCTCCGTATGTTTTAAGTTTTTCACCTATTTTATTTGAAAAGAGTTATAATATGAACAATAGACCTACAAATACAGAATATTTTACACTTAAAGGTAACCTTTAAATCATGCTATTTTGCTCTATGCATAAGATATAGGTATTACAACAAAATCTTAAAAAAAAATTTATTGTTAAGAGACAAATTGCTTACGCTCCTTCTCTTCATAGCCCTAGTTAAGAAAAGCTGTCTACGGCCATGGAAATACAGTTATTCTGATTTAGAAAAGTTTTCGCATATTATTTTAAGAAAAAAAATTGTTATTGCATCACCTTACTCTTCTAATTTATATCAGGGTAAGTTTTTAAAAGTATTAGATTCTTTCTTTCCCACAGTATTAAAGCCGTCTTTGATGGACTATTGTCCGTCAAAGACGAATGTCTAATTGTCCGAGTGTTAACACTCTCGACAATCCGTCAAACTGTGTGAGTGTTAACACTCTTCTGTAACTTCATCTCTGGAGTACCGCAACGTTCACTTCTGGAGTACCGCAAGGTTCCATCTTACGTTAAATGTTGTTTTTTATTTATTTAAATGATCTTTTTTATCATCTTATCTCCATTGACTCTCTCAAAAAATAAAATTTTTCATTAATTTTACATCAATTTTTATTGTTTCTTTTTTGTGGCAGCTTGAAGTTTGCATTGGTTAGTGAACTTATCCCCAAAAAAATAAAAAATAAAACTCAGTTATTTACTAACAATAAATATTGAATTATTGTTGATATTCTAGATAGTTTTTTTTTGATGCTTCAGATTTTTTTTGATGCTTCAGATTGTGACTTTCAGACTCCAAAAAGTATATTCATGCTTATGTCAAATGTGGAAGTGTTTTGCAGAAATTCGCGGTAATTGGAGCATAGGCATAAAAATACTCCAAATAGTGTGCACCCTTCACCCAACACTAAAAGAATAAATTACTTTCTTTATCAATTGTTGTGCTCGCCATTTTCTTATTCTGATTTTATGGTTGCTACTAAAGCGAGCAATCATCACTTGATTCATTAATACTCGATCTCGCGTAGGTTGGAATTTAGCAAAGTTCCATCTTTTGACTTAAACATTTCTTCGTGCTCAAAATTTTATTCCTTTAGAAGATGTTTTAGAAATCTATCTACCTTCAAGCTTTCCTGACTAAAAAAATGTTTTTTTTAAACTGCTTTTAAATTTTCTTTCCATCGTTTTATTGCTTTTTATGTTGTTTTCTGGTAACTTCCAACTTTTGAAACTTAAGTACTATTTAAAGTTTTTTTCATAACATAGAATATAATTGTTTTAAATTGAAAAAAAACACATCTAAAATTCTTAAAGTATTTGTGTTAATAAGTCAATTATGTCTACGAAAATAAAACTGGTCAAAGCCAGTTCAACGCCTATCATTAGTCTATATGAACCTGACGGATTCTCAAGCACAGGACCCGTTATAACAGAGCAACTAGACTTCATAATGTGAGCAGAAGTTCTAGCTGTAAAAGCACACATTGAAACTCTAGAAAACAAAGTCTTGATCTTAGAAGCAGAAAATGAAGCCTTACAAAAATCTCTTAAAATCTCTTAACTAAAAAAACCTCAACCGGTATCATTCTCATCACTCTTCAACAGCTAATCAAATGAAAATAAAAATGATCGGAATTTATATCAAAATAAAGTAGCACATGAGCAGAAACAAAGACAGCAAAAAGAATCAATTGTTATAATGGTGGGACTAGAGGTCTCAGACAAATATGTTGAAAATAAACAGGTTGCCGAGAATTTCTTTAGAGCTGTTGGTATCAACACCTCAACTATCGTGAGAGTCAGAAGTTTTAATTATAAAAAACACAACACAGAACTCAAACAAACCAAGCTCATGCAGATCACAGTAAAAGACTCTTAATCGCCTGCCCTGGTCTTATCTAAAGCCAGACACCTCGGTCTCATCACACAGAGTCAGCTGTTCACCAAAGACCAGTCTTGTCAACCTCAAGAACATTGGAGATGCGATCGCTAATGTCTCAAAATCAAAAATTGCAACAAATATCGTTAATGAATATTCACCCCTCACCCAAGCTAGAACAAACCCTGAATCAGCCTCAACATTCAAAACTGGTACCACCATCTAGCCTCAATGTTAAAAGAAAACGCCCAACTTGACCATCACCATTAGTTAGACATTTTACAGTCGTATCTCATTCTACCCGAATTATCGAAAGCTTGTTCAGTAAAGGTTTTCAGTAACATCAATTTCTGGGCAAATAATTCATGCTCACTAAATCAAACAAAAACTGACAAGCTGAAAACCAGCATACAATCAAGCTCCGAGCACAATCACCCACATCTTATTTTTCTTGCTAAGACGTGGTTTACTGAGGCTTCAGATACTGCTATTGCAGGGCATAACATTTTTTTATGAAACAGGGCCGGAAAGATAGACAAGGTAACGTAGCTATCTGCGTAAAAAACGATCTTAAATGCACGCTAACAAATATTCAACAACTTAACAAAAATACACATTGAACAGCTGTGGATAAAGCTCAAGCTCGAAAAAGAATCACTCCTTTTTAGGGTGTATCTACCGACCACAAAATAAAGATGAACTAGCACTCCTAGAAATTACTAAATCAATTCAGACTGCTACAGAGGCCCTCAAAACAATTGGTTGCAACTCCTTATTACTCTTTGGTGACTTTAATTTTAGGCACATTAGCTATGAAAGTATTAACGTCGGACGAGGTGTTTCGACAGCAGTCAAGATACTGATCAACAGCTTACCTGTCATTCAGTTTAAGTCTTATTTAGAGGAAAACCATCTTACGCAACTTGTCACTTTCCCAACCTTTCAAAATTCACAAGTTAAAGAACCAAAGTCTATCTTGGACTTAATGATAACTAACGATCCAGACAGATTAATTTACTCAAGCTGAACCTTTGGGGTTTACTCCGTAGGAATAAACTCACTTAACTATTGTAGGTTCAATTGCAACAGCAATAACAAACAATGAACCACATATAACTCCTCGATTATTGCGGAGCAAGGCAAACTACACTTTTATTTAAAATTATATTGGAAATTATGACTGAAATAAAAAAATTTAAAATTATATTGGAAATTATGAAGCTACTTCACTCTACATACTAAGTACTATAATATAACAGCAAAAACCGTCACAAAAGTGGTGAAAAAAGCAAAACTTGACTACAAAGATGCACCAAATTCTTCTTTTAAACATAACCCAAAGGGACTCAATTCTTATGTCAAAAGCAAAATCAAAGTTCACCATAAAATTCATTTACTTGAAGACAGCAATAGATCGGTGATCAACAACATTTTTAACATAATAAGACTCCAAATGATTATTTTTATAGTGTATTTGAAGTAGAGCCGCAAGGACCGCTACCTAATTTTTTAAACCGATCTCCAGCCACTTGCAATAAAGTAGTTGACTTTATCACTTATGAAATAGTCAAAAACAGATTGCTGAAACTTGATCCTTCATAAGCAACAGATCCTGATGGAATCCATCCTAGGGTCTTGAAAAACTGCGCACAAGCTTTTTCTATCCCTTTAACCATGTTATTTAATTCTTCTATTTTAACATCATTTGATCCAGATCAATGGAGAAAAGCAGAAGTAACACCTATATTTAAAAAAGGAATTAAGTTAAAGGCAAGAAACTACCGGCCAGTTTCCAAAACCTCGAAAAACAAAAAAATTGGTGGATAAATAGAGAACAACGTGTCGAAATAGATAATACATTATTGCCATGGAGAAAATTGTTTAGCAAAGTACCTCAGGGTTCGGTTTTAGGTCCGCTTCTTTTTGTGCTCTACATTCACGATTTACCGGACTTAATTTTGAGTCATATAAAAATGTATGCAGACGACAGCAATATCATAGGTATTATCAAGTCTGAAAAAGATGCACTGTATTTTCAAAAAGATCGTTGACACAGCCGTTAATTGGTCTAAAAAATGGCTTATGCCATTTAACATTGAAAAATAAGTTATGCACAAAAAATATATATATAAAAAACCATATATATACAATGGAATCACAAAATGGTCATCGCAAACAACTCGAAAAAGGTAATTTTTTCACTAATTGAGTAGTTAAAAACTGAAATTTCTTATTAAATACCACAGTAAATGCACCGTCATTCAACTGTTTTAAATGTAAACTTTAATAGAACAGTTTATTCACGCTTTTCAATTTTGTTGGCGCAGCTATAATTGCAAATGTTGTCAGAAAAGAGGGGTCCTTGTCTGTCTCCGTCAATAATTAGAAAATGCATTTTAGATAAATTCTTACCACGAACTATTTTTACTGTGTGTGATTTCAATAAGTTTGTAAATAATAGTTATTGATGACTGAATTAATAAATAATAAAAATAAAATTGCATAAAGTTTTCAAATTAGAAAAAAAACTATTTGTACTAAAGCATAATAAGCTGTTTTTTGTGAGCTTGATATATGACGGATTTATAAATCCGTTATATATATATATATATATAAATTTGTAAAAACCTCTCAATTTGAGGGGGTTACAAGTTTTACATGATTATAATTTTTGAACGCTGAAAGATAATACTATGAAACTTAAATTTATTGATGAATATAAATCTAGATGAGAATAGTACAAAAAATATTTTATCAACTTGTTTTCCCTCACGTTTGGAGTGGGGAGGGGGTGGGTGGAAGTGGGAATGAAGTCAAAGGGCTTTTTCGTTCCCAACCTCCAATCATCGCAATTTTTTGCAAAACCTCATTATTTGACATAAGTATAAACATAAAAATGTTTGGAGTTAACTCCATGTCTGAAAGTTAGCTCTCTCAAACACCAAAAAATCATGGCCTAAAAGAGTGTTGAATAAAAAATTTAGATAAATTTATTATTAAGAATAAATGTATAAAGATAAAAAAAAATCTTATCAATGAGATTGTCAACTTACTTTTAAGAAATTTATAAAGTAAAATTTTTATGTTTTTCATCCATTTTACCACTGATTTCAAGTAATCTCACTGTAATTATTACCAATCGTGCTCGTTATATAATCTGTGTATTTTTTGTACAAGCGGCGCTGCGAGGAAACGTCATTAACTATCCAGTAGAATAGTTTTTAAAGAGAAGGACTGGATATAGCCCTATGCTTATTTTTTTTTTTTTCACCAATATATTTTTTAATTCCATCAGAATCTTGTTATTCACTAGAAAATTAAAACAGTGTAAAAAAATCAAGAGTTTCTCTTGATATGTCGACAAAAGTTGACAAAGCTTCGAAACAACAAAAAGAAAAACATCACGCAATATTAAGAGAACTTGTGAAAGAAACCTCAAATAAAACTTGTGCTGATTGTCTTAGTAAAGGTAGTCTGATGATTTTTTTTGTTCTAGAAATACTAATTTTTTTTATATATATAATTTATTATTTATATATGATAAATTATATGTTGCAACCCATGTAGGTAGTTTATCCAAGTTGACTGAGATTTGATTAGATTGAGTTTTTAAAAGTTGAATATTTTTTAAATATTTTGCACCTGCTGTATACTGCGATAAATAATGATATTTATCATTAATCATGATTTATCTATAAGGGTTTCAAAATTACTTATTTATTTAAATTATTTCACACCTTTCATGTAATAATAGTTTTGTTAAATGTTTTGTTAAAAGCTTTACAAAATATCTAGTAATAGTAACAGTAATAGTAATATATTTAAATGAGTCTTTTTAGATTACATGACAAATAATTAAAAAAAAAAGAAACCAATAAAGGTTTTTTTAATTTAAGGCTTGTAAAATATAAACTTTAAGTGAAAAAAAATGTGTTATTTCATAGCATTTAAGTTGATATCAAAACTGAGAAAAAGAGAAAAAAGATTGCTTTCATTAAATTAAAAGTTACGTTTATAACAAATAGTATCTAAAAATTTAATGTTTGTAGCTGCTAAAGCACTAGTTAATTAATAAACACGCAGCGTCAGTAAAAGATGTACTGTTTTCAGCTGTAGAAAAAATCTAATATTAAATCTAAATCTAATATTATTTTTTTATATAGTTTAAATTTTTAAAAATTTTTTTTAACTTTTTAAAATATTTTTAATTAGTTCTACTTTAGTTTTTCAGATTCTATTTTAGATTACATTAGTTGAGTTTTATTAAGTGTGATTAGAGATTAGATTAATCAAGTTTTATTAAGTGTTAACATAGAGTTAAGCAAGAAACTTAATAAAATACAGATATTTTTGATTGGTAAAGTATTTAATTATTTGTTGTTGTTTTCAAAATTTTAATCTTTTTCTATTTAATAAATTCAAATTTTAATAACAAACAACAATACTACATATGTTTACTGTAATTTATGTAAATTTCTTTCAAGTAGTGCTGTTGTTTGATAACAAACAACAACTATTTATAACAAATTTACTTATGTTTTCTTTTTATTTTCAGTGAATCTCTACAGGTTACTTTATTTATATTTATATTTACTATTAAGTTTTAAACCTGATACTAAGTAATATGATTACTTTGATCAGAAATCTGCTTAATTAATGCTTAGAACACCTTAAAATTTTAATATTTAAAAGTAATTTCATAAATCATTTCATATGTTGAAAAATAATATTTATTTGCAAGTAAAGAAATAAAATTAAAGAAATAAGAATTAAAACTATGCAAAAGTAAGTTAACTTAATACTATAATAATAATTTTAAAAAAATTGAGGAAATAGTTCTTACCACAAAAAACATTTCTACATATAAAAAAAATAAGCAATAAAAATAAGCGACTCTGTTGTTTATGATGTTGCTGTATTAAAAAAATGTTTCTTTTAATAAATTTTTGTTTTTGTTATAATTTCTTTTTTTAAACTTATAAAGTAAGTAAATTGAAACTCATGAAGTGTGTTTTAAAGAAAAATTACTAAAATTGTCTGATGGACAATTAAAAAAACTTGTAAGAAAGATAATATATATATATATATATATATATATATATATATATATATATATATATATATATATATATATATATATATATATATATATATATATATATATTTATATATATATAAAACACTTATCTAATTTTTGTGTTCTTCAACAGCATGTTTCACCATCTGTAGGTTCCTGATGAACCTACTGATGGTGAAGAGCACAAAAATTAGATAAGTGTTTTTACTAAATTATTATTGCTCTGTTCTTTAAGATCATTGAGCACTCTATTTGTAGAATACACTAACATAATTTATATATATATATATATATATATATATATATATATATATATATATATATATATATATATATATATATATATATATATATATATATATATATATATATATATATATATATAGAGTGTTAACCAGGAATAAATTTGATACAGCGTTTTGACAGAATTAGAATTTTGTCAAAATATTTCCCAATCACCCCATCCCTTCCTAAGATTAAAATGTGTTCTGGAAATGCATTGGGTCCTTTTCTTATTTTCTTTCCTCTTCTTCTCTGCCTCAGGGCTGCATACATTGATTGGACAGCGCCAAAAATAAAATAAAAATACTATAATATTTATTGAAGATAAATATGAAATCAGCACAAAATTAAATGTGGCTTCACAATGACATGGCAAATTAAACTCCGGTTTCCAAAGATATATTAGGAATAATATATTTTTATATTATTTTAATCAGCAACCCTCGGAATTAGGAAAAATGAGGTTGGCAAACTATTGCAATAAAATTAATCTTTTTGAGGTCGGCATCAGGTTGGCGAAAATTATACAATTAATCTTAATATATCATTGCCGCTTTCATTTTAAGAGTATTCTTGTGAATTTATATATTTTTTTCATTGGTGGGCATTTGTGTAAATAGATTTCTTTCTCGATACATGAGGAAATTGAGATAAATAAAAATAACATTTAATGCCTGCAATTTAAAATATAAGTAAATATGATTTGCAAATCTTCAATTTTTACTAATTACCATAATTATTTTATTTACTATAGTATTACTTATAAAATAACTACCATAAATATTATAATTACCGTTGTTCATAAATAACGTCAGGCTGAGTTTAACTAATAGCTAGAAAAAGAAGATTATTGGCTCTAATGTGTAGAGATTTTTAAAGTAATAGTGGTTTATACTCATTGAAAATCTCTGCTTAAGAGAGTCAATTATCTTCTACTTTCAATTACTCAAATTGAACCATATTCATAAAATATTATTATAACTATGGTTCATTCAAGCATGTAAATTCACTTTTATTTTTTAAATTCAAGCAAGCGGTGAATATACTTTTCTTGTTTTTTGAATTTCTAGAACCAGTTTGTTGTAATAAAAAACACTCTTGTTATTAAACATATTTAATTTACAATTTGATATATGTATTTAATTTATGTTTTAAATACAAGCAAACTGTAAAATAAAGAAATCTATTTTTCTTGTTAAATGAATTTCTAATACCAGTTTGTTATATTGTTTTTGTATTTAATTTATATTTCAGAGGTGGTTTTTTATAAAAAGTTAGTCTAGAAATGATAATGCCAATAAGTAAAAAAAAGATTATAGTTGATGCATTCTGGTAATTCAGTTGATATAAAATACCAAACAAAATAAGAAAAACAATAACTAAAATTCTTACCGTAAATATCTGCATTGATCAAAATTTCCAAAGTATCTGACATAAACGGCTTCTCAATATTTTGAGTTAACTTTGTTGAGAAAATCACATATACTACTTGAAGTAGAGTTTGCACTAAGACTTAAGTATTTTGAATTTTCAGCCAAAACGGGGGAAACTTTTAAAGAAATAGCATTTTTGAATTTTAAACTCAACAAATTTGTTATTTTTTTAAATTGTACTTTATTTCTTGCTACTTTTTTTATATAATAGTTGCTGTTATTTAAATTTTTCAAGCAAGTTGCTGAGAAAATCCCTAAAATCGCTGGGAAAGTTCTTATTCTCAATAAGTTTTTGCCTAAAGACATTTATAGTTATCCAATCACATAATACCAATACCGGTAATTTTATACGGCGAACTTATACCAATAATAGCGATTTTATTTCAAGTTTTACACAATTTATAAATTAGAATTTCTTATGTTATTTTTTATATTAGTATTTAATAACAAATAATTTTCAGCAATTTTCAGAATTATTATTAAACTTTAATTTATGATTTGGCAAACTTTATTTAAAGAATAGGATGTTTTTAGTTTAAATTGAGAATTTTAATTTTATGAGCATTTGGGAATACCACGTTTGATGGGACTTCACAGGGCTAATTTACACCCTGATGTATATATATATATATATATATATATATATATATATATATATATATATATATATATAATAAATATATATATATATATATATATATATATATATATATATATATATATATATATATATATATATATATATATATATATATATCATAGATGAGTTTTTTCCGGGAATTCCAGAAATTTTCCTAAAACTCTTTTAATTTTCCAGAAATTTTCGGATGTTTTTTTTTTTATTAATTTGAAAAAAAAATTACATATTTTTACATAAAATTTTAAAAGCGACAACTTTTGCATTTAAACAAATTTGTTTTCAATAGTTAAAATTTTCACGAAACCAATTTTTGTAACATTTTTTTCTTCTTTTTTTTGTGCTTTTTAATTTATTTAAATTAACTTTTTCGAATATTAGAAATTCCTTTTTGGTTTTGTAACAAGTTCTTTTTTTGTAATGAAATATATTTGGTACTATAACTACAGCATTCATGTTAAGTATATTACCCAAATTTATTGACATAAAAAATTTATTTTATATGACAATGTCTGCTCCGTTACTGACATTTGCTAGTTATTTATTACTTAAAAGCAAAATAGTCTAAGTTACATTTCAGATTAAAGGGAAAATCTTAGTATACATAAAAAATCAGTACAATGTCTTTATAAAAAAGATAGTGATAGGTCTCGACCGAAATTCTTTTTGATTTTAAATTGTACAAATACTGTCCGCTAGTGTTTTTGGAAAATATCATATGTAAGAATCTCTGATTAAATCCTATGTTTTAACTTCAAGCGATGCATTACCGCGATGGCCCTCGCTGTTTAGAGTTGTAATTTTTGATGAGAGAGAAGAGTTAGGGGTTTTAGGTGATTCAGTGGTTGTAAGTGAGTTTGCTTGTGAATCAGGCAGGGAACATTTAAGCCTTAACTAACGTTTTTTGTATTTTTTGGCTGAACAATTAACTGTTTCCAACTCCTCCGTCAATGCTTGTATTTGTCTGTAAACCTTTGTTTTTTGGTAAGCAACCTTTGCTCTACCTCTTTATTTGCATTCATTATTGCTACTCAACTCGC